TTGCGAGATTTAGTTGAACCTTGTATGCTACTCTGGGGTAGCACTCGATAGTCTTCTGTCGAGACTGATCCGAAGATGCCATTCCTTGGGTACGTTGAGCAGGGGCCAGGGTGTTGCACGGCCTCTTCCCCACAACCAGGGTTGTACGTGTACACAACACGAGTTCGAAGCGACCACCTGTGTGCCTCAGCTTCGGTAGATACTTGCCGTTGCACTTGTCAGCTCAAGATCCACCACCATCGAATTGGAGACTGTGTATCCGTACGGAGTATTAATATTCTGGCTGGCAGTTCGATGCGAGTTTGGGTGGGTATGATGCTGTTGTGTGTGTGTGTTGTGTGTGTTGTGTGTGTTGTGTGTGTTGTGTGTGTTGTGTGTGTTATGTGTGTTGTGTGTGTTTGAGCGGGTGGCTGTGCAGGGCGCCAGATGTCAATGATCAATCACAATGATAGTCTGCTGCGAAGCAAGGATTGTTGTGAAGGGCTCTCCTGAGTAGCACATCAGATGACAGGCTGAGACGGCGAATGTAATGACTGATGCTTCATGCAACCACCGACGCTCGACATTCGGAAGCTAAAAATCGTGCTCAGACCAGACTCATATTATTGCTGAGTGACTGAGTCGAGTGCACTGACGTTAGACCGTTTTACTGAGACTCGGAAGGTATGACTGCGGTTGCGGAATCGCAGGACCAAAAAAAGCGTGAAAAAAGAAAGACAGAAGGCAGAAGGAAGATTGTACTTGACACTGTCTCACCCACTGGCGCAGTGTTTCTTTTGACAAAGGCATGGCGCAAAGCGGTAAAGGTGCCAACTTGCTGTGTTGCACTGCGTGTTCAGGCACCAAATGTAAGACTAGTGTGAGTTGAGTAGCTCCCTTGCTAGGGGTTCGCCATTGGCATAGACCCTGATGCAGGACTTCAATGTCACAAGAACGGCTGTACGAGGTACTTCTGTACACCAGGGATAGTTATTGACCTGCGATACTGTTGCCCTTGCGAGAAGGGTTACTGTCGTCCACCGTCTAGGGTGGCCTGAATATGATCCCTGGGGTATCCATTGTTACGCTTCGTCTGAACTGTCGGGAGACTGAAGTCAAGTTTCTTTTTCCTCGACTCTTGTGGCGTGCGGTATGAAACCTGGCAGACAGGGTGTCGAGGAGGTCGCAAACGCCACGTTAATGCCGAAGTGTACGGATATTCAATATTGCATACTCCTGGTTACAAGAATCGAACTCAAATAGAAGACTTGTGCCGTTTTGTTAGTTACCACTCTTGGTAGAACGTTGTGTAGACACGCGCGGCATCGGCTAAAAGCTGATCGCACTAATGACAAGCGGTAGTTATTCGAGTAGTCGGAGAAGCTGAGAAAGGTTCCGAGAATCATGAATAATAACAAGAGAAGGCACGAGGGCGACATTTCAGAGCCCTTGGCTGGACGGTCGTGCGGTCTGTAGACTGCCAGCGACACGATAGTGGAGCGCAGGGCTGGCTGGCTGTCTTGGTTGATTGACGTTGCCAAAAAGGGAGATACTAGTGTATGAGTTTGCGGCAGTGGTAATAAACCTGCTTGTACGGAGTAGTTGGAGAGCCAAGCCTCCTAACACAAGCAGGATGGCAAATAATAAGTAGTTGGCAGTCAAGTAGTGAAGCAAGCCTGCTGATATTGCAAAAGGAGTGGCGGCAAGCTCCGGGCTCTTCTGGCCGGGTTGGGTCTGCGGGAGCTCAATTCTTAGAGGGATAAGTTCCCCATTCCCCAGGCGGCTGTGGGACCTCTGGATGGTGACCCTTAGCGGTATGTAAGTTGCCCTTTATGGGTGGTGGTTGATCGTCGGCTTCTCCATGCCTCCGAGGCAAGAATGTAGGGAGGAGTTATGTTTTGATATGACAGTCCATCATGCTAGGAGGTCATGCGAGGTTCGTAGAGAGCGAGCAAGGGAGAAATTGCAGAAAGCAATCGCCGCTGCACGCACGGCTGTGATTAGTTGCATGTATGTAAATGGTGCGAGTCGGTGGCAACTGGGGCCGGCCTGATCGATGACGATGGAGGCTGCAAGCCGCGGCTGCGTGCAGGCAGATAGGGCAGTGGACAGTCTCGTGAAGCTGCTTATTTAGTAAAGTCGCCATAGCAGTGGTGTGCTACCAATCATGCTGGCCAAGCTGAGGCAGCATATGCACTGTTGGACCGCCACTGCAAGTCGCAGGCGAGATGCATGATGGGCTGTGTCAGTGTGGTGGGTGTTTTGTTTCTCATCTCCGTAGGAGTATAGTAATACTCGCAAGTCTCAAGGAGTTAGGTATTGTCATGCGTTTGCAAAGCAGTGTGGTGGCGTTGGGCTGAGTATACATGGTCAAACGAGACGAGGAGGGCGAAGTAGCGAGAAGAGGGCACATGTAGGTTCGGCGAAGAAGAATATCCACTTGACAGGTAGAATGTCTGACAGGACCGCGGCAGCCAGGATGGAGCTTGACTGATGATTTGTGACTGGAGATTGACGACGGTGGTGGTGGGAGTGGTGTTTGCGGTGGTGTAAAGGAGGAGAGGATGAGAAATGATAGTAGGATTGGTAGCATTCTGGGATTGTGGTGGGCTACAACGGTGGATGTATCTTTATTATGGTGGTTCGCTGCAACAAGTACCTTGGTAAGGTATGCGGACAAGCTACAGGTACGAAAAGGGAATTACGTATCCGTATACTAGCAAATTGGATTCCTTGGCTATCTACTAATGTAGCAGACTCTTTTCCTACGAAGATTTCATATGCGTGCTGAGCCTCAAAGGGGTAGTTGAGCAGTATCTTGGGCAGGCTTGCAGCCTCTTGGAGAAGAGGGATCGGATTTTTTTTCAGCAGCATGCAGTGTGAAAAAGACTTGGGCCCGTAGATGCATGAAGCAGAGAGTAGGAACGTCGGCTCTCGATCCCCATCTCCGTATTCCAACACCATGGCTACCAGGATTGTGCATCAACGACGGGCCTTGCTTACTTACCATTGCGCATTTTCACTTGTGCCATGGACCTCTTTGTGTGATGGACGTAACGCAGACCCGCTGAGACAACGGGAGGGTCCCTTGATCCTTGACCCCCCTTGCCGCTGGGGACGGTCCCCTTGTCAACAAGGACGACGACGGAGCTTTTGACCTTGTTGACCGGGATTGTCGATGCCTACCGCTAGTTCGTTAGGCTCTTCTCTTCTGCCCCCCTGGTGGTCCACGGGTCTGGACTGAGAGGGCCAGGCGTTCCTCTCTGGGTCCTCCCATCAGTCGACTCGGGGCGTAACTGGGACGAGGAGGCAGCGATCCCCCGCCGGGACGTGGAGCGGCAGCCCCAGCAGAGAGCCTGCCGACGCGAGAGGAAGCGGCGAGTTTGTTCGCCGTGGCTCCTTTATTACGAAGGCACTCTGATCTGACTGGTCATCATGACGGTCCATCAGTTAGTTGGACGGTGCTTTGTCGTTGGTAGTGTCTTGTTTCTGGCCTCGGTGGATGCTGCTAAAGTCGATGCTAAAGCTGCTAGCCCGGGGCTCTCGGCATTTGTACCAGTACTCCTTGGTCAAGGAGACGAGGGATGCTCCCTGTTCCTGGCTGCACGCGCAAAAGCAACGACGGATGGTTAGGTAGGCAGTGTCCGTTCGCTGCTCCGTACCAGTACCTCCATTTTCAAGCATCCAGCTCCGAGGAACAGGAACAGGAGCATCCACTTTCCCACTGCCTTGGGTCGGCTCGCTTCGTTGCCCGGTACTGGGCTGGCCCAGCTATCAGTGCCTTTTTTTTTTCTCAAATTGCCTGAGCAAGCAATCGACCAAGATAGCAGGCAGGGAGTAGACTCAACGGAGTACTAGCCTGGTACTTCGCTGATGGACTTTTTGGCTGCTGTCTTGGGGTACCTACCTCCTCCTCATAACCTCCCTGCCTCCCCTATCACCAGCAGTGGCAGTACCAGAGTACTCACGCCCCTACACCACTTGCAGTCCCCCCTTCCTCCTCCTCTGCTACGACCCTCTCTCTCAAACCTGGCTCCTCTCACCTCTCTTCTTCTTTTTCACTTTCTCTCTCTTGCATTGAGACCTGTTGTTGCCGTCTTTTTTTTTTAATCCTCCGCAGTGTCCCTTTTTCTTCTACTTCAGTCTTCTGTAAGTACCATACGTCACGGCGTCTCCCTCGCCTCGTTTGCGCCTTCACTTTTGGCCCCTCCATTCCTTCCCGCTGCCGCGCTTCGCTTGCTGCGCTGCCACCTGCTTGCGCCACCTGCGTACCTTACCTGCTGGGCGGACTCCTTTTCAGGTACCTGGGGGCTAGGCTGTTAGCCACTGCCAAGGTACTCTAGTGGCCACTCATCTATCGCGCACTTGAGAGGTACCTGTTTAGCTCCGCGCCAGGTACAGGCCCCTTCCAGGTTCAGCTGTCACCACCAAAATATCCCCGCTGAGCGCCGCCGTGATACTTGCTGCATTCCAGCCAGCCAGGCCTTGACTGCCACCTCAGCTACCATCCTCAACGTCCCTTTTGCCTCTTCATTCCAGACGCGCATCCACTTGCAATCGATGCAATCAACAACTTCGCGACTGCTTCCACCTGGTTGCTAATCATCTTCTCGCCTGCTGCAGTTCCAAGCCTTGTTTCTCTGCCTTACCACAGCCCGCGCCTAAATTGCACTCCGCCGCAATCTTCCTCTCATACGCCAACACCACCACCACCACCGCCAACAGACGCCGCGGCCTATACCACGACGACAACTACCGCCGTTCCTAGGCAGCCAATCCTCGACCACGACTTACATAGCGACGTGCAAACTTCGGCTGTATTCTCCTTCCCAGTGAAAATTCCTGTTATCCGCGGCTCGGCCTCCTAAACCACCACCAGCCTTGATATTGACCACATACCACCGCCTTACCGACTTGCCACTCTCGCGACGCAGGTTGTCTTTTGGCGTGGCTGTCGACTCTCGACTCGCGCCACCGCCCGACGACCTGCCCTGTCCGCTAGGACGGCTGCTTTCAACGCCATGCAACCCGAACAGCACGGTCGGGCCAGTCTCCAAGTCGCCCCCCTCGACCTGGTCAGGAATCCCTCTGCCTCAGCAGTCAATGGCCCTTACCAGCACGCCAACTCCTCGCAATCCGCACAAATGACACCTCCTGTCACTCCCAGTAGCTCCCAAGAGGACTTATCGCCTGACGCGCCTCCAATCTTCCACAACTTCCTGCGAGCCTTCTATCCTTTCCAGCCTAGCCATGCTGCCACCGAATCCAGTGTCACTCTACCACTCGAGGAAGGCGACGTTATCCTCGTTCATTCTATTCACACCAATGGCTGGGCAGATGGCACCCTATTGATCTCAGGCGCGCGTGGTTGGCTTCCCACCAACTACTGCGAAGCCTACGAACCCGACGATCTGCGCGCCCTGCTCAAGTCTCTTCTCAACTTCTGGGATCTATTACGAAGCACCTCGGTAGATGACAGTGAACTCTTCAGAAATCAGGAGTTTATGAAGGGGATTATTGCTGGTGTCCGGTTCCTATTGGTGTGTACATCTCCCGGCTTCGCTCTGTATGCGCCGTATTTCAGCTCCTGTCACCTGCTAACAACTCTCCCTATTATTAGGAACGCACAAACTGCTTAAATAGAGAGTCTGTAATTGTTCAGCGCAACGATGGTCTGCGAAAATGCCGGAAATCGCTCTTGGCTGAACTCTCCTTACTCGTCAAGACGGCCAAGCGCCTTCAGGACTCTCAGCGACAAATCTCTTACCCAGTCGAGGATGTTAATGATGTGGTTGATGAGATGATCCTCAAAGCCTTCCGCATTGTCAACAAGGGTGTGCGATTTCTTGATGTGCTCGAGGAAGATCGAAGAGCCCGCGCTCCTGCTTCCGTCACCGTCATGGCGACAGTTCAGGAGGAGTCATACGTCCCACCGACACCGCCCGCAGACAGACTCACCTTCGACGAGCAGCGCATTGATACAACGTCTGAGGCTGGCTCAAGAGCTTTTACAGATGACACTAACGCCAGCGTCGCGGCCTCGGATCTTAGCGAAGCAATCCACGCCTCGCAAGCTCATTGGAACAAGCGCCTATCGTCACTCAACCAAACCTCCACCACTGCCAACCGTAGAGCATCTCAAGGCAGCATCTCTCAAAATCGGTCGTCCGCCACCTTTGCGCACCGTGTATCCTTGGCAGGGCCATCGCCTCATTCCCGCCCTGGCTACTTGATCTCCGAACGTCTTGGTCGCAAGCACGACAGATTTCTTTCTCATCTCGGTTCCTTCATTGGAAGGTTACACTGGCACTCACCTTCGCGCATGGAGCTGTCGCGTTCTGTCAGCCAGTCGGCTTGCTCAGCCGGTGAGCTTCTCACAGTCGTCGACGGAGTCATGGCTCACTGCAATGTGGCTCCGGTCGCCTTGCAATCGGCGCGAGCTGCTTTCCTTGAGCGCTCCCATGGTCTCGTCTTTTCGACGAGAGACATCCTTGTCCGTGCCGCAACTCAAGACGCCGACGTCATCACTTCATACGATACCTCTATCCTCCTTGCCTCTGCTACTGACTGTGTCAAGGCTGCTGGAGAATGTGTAGCCAAGGCGAAGGCCACGATTGAGCGAATCGGCGACTTCGAATATGATGTTGAAGGTAGTGCCCTTGATATTGATTTGTCTATTCTAGACATTGTCCCTCACGAACGCTCACGAACACCTTCGGCTGCCGAGCCCTGCCCTTCTGAGGCCGTTAGTGCTGCCGAGTCCCTGCAAGCTGCGGATTCTTACATACCTGTTCGCCGAGAATCCCTCATTCCACTCAACAGCAACACGCACAATACCTTCACCTCTAATGCGGCTAGCACCAAAAGTGGCTCACCAACTTCTTCAAGGCCGTCGTCTTCCAAGTCAGCCACTGAAGATGGTTCTAATTCATCAGCGTTTGCTACGCGGCCGAGTCTCCCACCTCTACCGAAATTGACCACGACCCTGCTGCCTCCAGACGCCAATAACCACTCGGACATGTCCGCCCGTGAACTTGACAACCACTCTGCGCGATTTGATGCCGTCGCGGCATCCAGTGCTGGTAGCAGCACAACTTATTTAAGCAGGGACTCCGAGGCCAGCATGATCTCGCAGACGTCAACGAGAGCTACAACGCCAGAGCAGAGCCTAGCCCCTCGACCCAAGCCCTCCATCTCCGATATGAGCTCTGCCAGCAACACAGCCCTAGCGGATGACGCAGACGATGTGGAGTCTCGACTTCTCGAAAAGACTTTTGCCCATGAGTTGATGTTCAACAAGGAGGGACAGGTCACCGGCGGTTCTCTGCCTGCTCTGGTGGAGCGCCTTACTACACATGAATCTACTCCTGACGCAACCTTTGTGTCCACTTTCTTCCTTACTTTCCGTCTCTTCTGCACACCTATTAAGCTGGCGAAGACTCTGGTTGATCGTTTCGACTACGTCGCCGATGCTCCTCACATGGCCGGGCCTGTGCGTCTGAGAGTATACAATGCTTTCAAGGGCTGGCTTGAGTCTCACTGGAGGGACTCAACTGATCGCGACGCTCTCAAGGTCATCATGCCTTTTGCCGAGGGCAAGCTGGCCGCGGTTCTGCCTTCTGCTGGACGACGCCTACTGGAACTGGCCATGAAGGTCTCCGGACAAGGGTCCCTAGTCCCGCGCTTCGTGTCGTCCATTGGCAAGACCAACACGGCCATTGGACAGTACATTCCTGCCGAAACGCCACTGCCACCGACGGCTGTCTCGAAGCACCAACAGCATCTGCTCAATGCTTTCAAGGCCGGAACTGCTGCTCCAACGCTCCTCGACTTCGAGCCCATTGAACTGGCTCGTCAGATCACACTGAAGCAAATGGGCATCTTCTGCTCCATCATGCCTGAAGAGCTACTTGGCTCTCAGTGGATGAAGAAGGGTGGTGTAGAGGCACCCAACGTCAAGGCTATGTCTTCGCTTTCGACAGACCTGTCAAACCTGGTTGCTGATACCATTCTCGAACATGTCGAGATCAAGAAGCGTGCCACCATCATCAAACACTGGATTAAAGTCGCCTACCAGTGCCTGGAGCTACACAACTATGATGGTTTGATGGCTATTATCTGCAGCCTCAACAGCAGCACCATCAACCGCCTACGGAAGACGTGGGATGCTGTTTCTCCGAAACGCAAGGACTTGCTACGCAGGCTGCAACAGATCGTCGAACCTTCGCAAAATAACAAGGTGCTACGCACCAGACTACACGACCACGTACCCCCTTGCCTGCCCTTCCTGGGCATGTACCTAACCGATCTCACCTTTGTCGATATCGGCAACCCTGCCACCAAGCAGATGTCGCTTGGTACCGAAGGCGCGGACGACGGAACTGGAGGCCTGACGGTTGTGAACTTTGACAAGCATACTCGCACGGCTAAGATCATTGGCGAGTTGCAACGTTTTCAAATTCCGTATCGGTTGACCGAGCTCCCGGACATGCAAGATTGGATCACATCCGAAATCAGCCGCGTCCGCCAGAACGACCAGGGCAATGTCCAGGTCAGTTACTACCGCAAGAGTCTGCTCCTCGAGCCTCGTGAAGTGCGGCGAGACGTGGAACCGCCGACACCCGTCGCAACTACTGGCGCTGTACGAGGCGATCTTTTCGGCTGGATGACTCGCGACCGCAATCATCACAATGCCACGCCAGCGCAGGTATAGCCTGTCGCCGACCAAAGACACTACCATTCATACGGAGCCGTGTCATATCATTGCACATACACCATTTACTTCATTGATATTTATTTTTTCGACATTGATACCCCAGCTTTTACTCGGTCTTTTTTTCTATTATTGTATTTCACGCTGTCGACTCTGGATATATTTTCTCTTCTACGACACCATCAGCGAGCAGGCGAACCTTTTCGCTGCGATGCCACAACAGCCTTTTATTTTTATTATCTTGGGCATACGATCTGCGGATATCTTTCTTTCGGTTTTGAAACGGCGCACAACGGAACAAAATTTGGTGCTGGGAAGAAGGTTGGGACGCCGTTTTTACGCATTCATACGGACTGCAAAGTCAAACGAACACACAACATATTGTTGATTTGGGCGGTTAAGGAATATGTCGCTACAAAGAAGCAATGCACCTGGGGAATTTGAGAGGTGCATGCCGTATACGGCTGAAAGCGACGGGTCGGGCGCCGTAACCTTTCATGACGAATTTTCTCTTTCTAAGGAAGATGATACCCCAATCCTGCGGAAGATGTTGTGCGGTTACTAGCTGTTTTTGTTCCAAAGCGCCTTTTGTTGATTGTATGACGGCGAGCTCTGTATGCAACTCGAGGAGATGATTTGCTGTACGTGTGCAGCTAAACAATAGTACATATTACTATTCCTGTGAAAATATTTGATTGCGCGAAGCTGATGTCTTACTACTGTCTGCATGTAGCCGCTGCCGCGCAGCGAGTGACACAAATTGCCCCAACACTTCATGGCCGTCGCGGTGTGTGTTGCACAACCAACGCCGCGCGTAGGCCGGGTGTATTCCAGATACGGTAGGCGGCATCATACGTGCAGCTCGAGCCAAGGGCATCATGGCGGTGTCTCCCCCCTGGCGGTGTGCTTTGCCTGGGTTGTCCGCGTTGACTTCTTCCTGCTCGACAACTTGCGCCATCCAAAGGGGGAAGAAGTAAGCAGATTGTCTGTGCTCTAACACATTGCGTGTTCTATCCTCCACAAAGGCAGTGCATTTGAAATGGGAGGAAGTGATAAAACAGGCAGGGGGGGGGGACGGGTTGCTGCGTGAGAGGAGGCGCTTGATCCGGGACACGGCCAACAAACCCCACAACTTGCTGCTGGTCTTCTCTTCATTGAGAAAACCTGGTTTGGGTTGGAGATATCTCAACACTGCCTATCTCATACCCCATGGCGAAGGGCAGGTTTCAATCAATCCCCCCCCCCCCCGCCCCCCCCCAAGGGTCATTACTCGTCTGGACCGGCCTGGCCCATTCCGGGGTGAATGGCAGCGAGTTAATGAAAGTTTGCAATTCTTGTTCGGTTGGCTCGCCGTTCGGATGTTGACGCCCGCAGAGGGAAGAAGGGGGGGCGGCATCCGGGGGACCGAGAACGTCCCCAACGCGCGATGGTTGGCTCCTCTCCCTGGGGTCGGAAGCCAACCTGACTACGCCAAGTGACATCCTGGCGTTTGCGGCCGGTAGATTAACAACGCCAGGGTATGAAGGTCGAATGGCTAAAATGTAACCTAGTATCGAGCAAATGGAGGCTCCCTTGAGCCGCGCAGCCTTGGACCGGCTAAGGGGGGAATCAGGATCGGGCTGCGAGTTGGCGAGGGTGGTCGAAAAGATGCAGTAGTCTAATTTCCACCTCGTTGATGAATGTAGGATAGGTTATCTGGGCACAAATCCTATATCGTCAACAGGTAAACGTTTGTCTTCTTCTCACCACCCCGCTGGTTGCAACGCCCGCAGCAAAGAAATCAAGAACTACGAATAGTTTAGTAACTAACTCACGCGCGGTCAATGATGACTTTTACCATCGACTTACACCATGCACATTCGGCACGGCTGCTGCATTCGCGCATCACATTTAACAAGGCTCATGCTCAACCCGACGTCTTTCCCACACCTCAACTTTGGCATGGCTTGGTTCCCCAGATCTTCAGCCTCTGTTGCAAGTGGATCAAGAAAAGAGCCCAGGGAGTGAAGTGAGTGGGCTGTTCTAGTGGATGTGTGGCGTTGTTAGCCGGCGGCAAAGTTACGTTACATGGCAGCCACACTGTGACAATGGTGGGAGAGGGCGAAATGGAAATTTGGCTGGGTGCTAGCCAAGGTTGGCCAGCTGACCTGACGTGTTCGAATAGTCCAGACACCATTCTCGGCGCCGTTGCGGAAAGAGAATCAATGGTGCGTTCACTATGGTCCGGGCAGTATCGTTAGTCCTTTGGTACCGACGGCGACTGTTGGTCAGCCTTTCATGCTGCGCTGCAGTTGTTGACGGTAGTACAACTGTCGTCGACGTTGCCTGCTTGGACAGTGAACGAGAAGTGGCTTGCTGCCAGAAGGGAAAAAATCGAGACGCCACCGCGAGTGCATGCACGTTGTACCAAGGGCGCCGCCACGATCTTGAGCTGTCTCCGAATTGGCGTTGAGCGTTGGGCCGGTCAGCCAATGACATGGCGCAAGATTCGGCCCTTTGATACGTGTGAGTTGTTGATACGAGGAACCACCGCATCGGCAGCCGGCTTTTTTAATAAGTGACTCAAAATGCTGCTGCCAGCCGAGATAGTCAAAAGAAACGGCCAGTGTCCGGATTAGCGACCAGGTTGTCTAGGCTCAGAAACGAGGCGAGAAAGGAGACACCTGGCAGCCCTGTCGCTCCCCCCGCCGAACTGCACCACACCTATGCCCACAGCGGGCCTGGAATTCGATCTCCTGACACTTGCAGTTGTCATAAGTGTCTGTGATAAGAATTTTCTTTCAAGGGGAGGGGGCACGGGCAAGAGTATGGCTGCCAACTCAGACCTGACTGTGAAATGATGTAATAGAGTACCTGGTTGTTTTCTGACGTCGATGCCTTCACTAGAATGTATCCCCGGGAGCACAACTTAGCAGTGCTGACCGGTTGAAACGTGCAGTACACAAGGCCACGATGATGCAAAATAGCGGTCTCTGCGACAGGCATCTCGCCGTAGAATTCGACCCACCCCCTTTATGCCAAGTATTGCAGGAAAAAAAAGTCGACAGCTGACGAAACGAGCGAGGCTTCATCTAGCCCGTTCCCGTCAGGGCGGTTATGTGCTGCGCTTTTCCTCGTTACCTACCAACAACATCCAATCGTGAGCCGAGATGGTTGAGGGCTGCTGGCTGGGCGGGCGGGCGCTGGGCGCCGCTGCGATAACAGAAAGGCTTTCCTGCCATGCAGCGTCCTGTTAATTACCGGCGTGGCTGCACTTTTATCACAGGGTCGCTATTATCTGGCCCTGCGAAGATGGTTGCCAAAAAGCCACGCGAAAATACTTGCCGCTGGTGGTCTGTTGGCGAAACGAGTGGCGCAAGGCGCCTCGCAGTGTGCAACTGCCAACGTGGTTGCTCCCCCGCTGTCACGTAGCGTTCTGTTTGGGGTTGGGTTGGGTCAGCCCAGTTCCCCGAATTCTTCTCCAGTGGTTCCAACGCAGCAATCCCCCAGTTCCCCTCGTTCGCGTGTCAGGAAGGTTGGGCCGGAGCCCTGTTGGTGTGGGGGATAGTACCCCATGGGCGCAGAGCAACCTTAAGGGGGCCCTGGGGCAAACCTGTCAGCGATGCCTTCAAGTACATGTCACCAGGGCTTATTTGATTCTTTTTTGCTGGCGTTTGATGGCAGGCGGGCAGCCTGATGCATGCATATATTGGAGGAGGAAGCTTTCGCAGACAACGAGGGGACCCTTGCTGCTTGGCTATCGTGCATGTGGCGGGTTTGGACTCGACGTTACAGCTTGCAAAAATAGATCAGAGATAGACCGGTTCTGGCAACCGCCGCGGGCTTGTTTTGTTTATCCTCACATGGAAACTGACTTCCACGGGCGGAAGGTTTCTTTCCTCGCTCGCCTTTGGCCAAGACTGGCTCCTCGTCCGGTCATAGGGGGGGCCAAAATCTAGCCCGTGGATGGTGGATGGTGGGTCTCCGTATCCTGTCCCAATCTCACCCCCCAGAAGCAATGCGAGTGTCCGTCCGTGTATTGATAGCAGCATGCACATTGGCTGAGATAATAAGTGGGAAAAGGGTCGATATTAATTGCATTGGCATTATGATATGAAGCGTTTTTGGATGGAGATGAGAGGAGGGGGGATGGGGGTGGGCGATGCGTTTGTCAGTTCAGAGTCTGACTGGAATCTTTAAAGTGCAAACGAGCGAGTGACAACTGAGAGCTGGCGGGCGGGCAGCTGGCGGGCGGGCGTTGCTGTGAGCAACTGTCAGTATTGAAGAGCTCACACAACAACAACCCAACCCAACCCAACCTGGTAGGCCTCATCTCTGACTCGTTCTTCCTCCATCAAACACGCCTCTATCATCGCAGCCTCACCTGGAGATACGCACCGAGCCGGCGTGCGCTTGAGACCGCCCTGCCCCATCCAGCGAGCAACCGTCCATCCCACCAACCTACCATACCATACTCCGTACCATCCATCCATCAGCCCAGGCCAACTCGCTGATACCCGTCCGTCCATTGTACAGACTGGTATTAGCACCATTGGGATACCTGACTAGAACCAAGCACAACGCCCCCAAGGAATCAGCCACAATACACTCTGTTGTTGCAATTACACCTGCGAAGGTACCCCTGGTGCCTCTTCTTTCTCCGGATACCACCCTCCACTGTCCACTTCGTCCTGTCCTTCTCCACAGCTGGTGCGTGCCCTTCCCCTCCATCCACATCCTTTCTCCATCCTTTACTAACAAGGGCCGTCTTTGTGGTGCTCGTGCTAACCAGCCCCGTCCGTCCACCAAAAAAAGCTCCGTCCGTCGCGTGAGCGCTGAACCGTGAGACGCCAGTTCCTTTTTGAATATAAGGGTCTCGCCCCCGGGGCTCCAGCTCGACTTTTGTTCTCTTCTCTCCGTGTCTCTTGTTCATCCTCCAACCAATCCCCCCCCGTCCTCGACCCCTCCAGCCTCCACATACCCCGGATTTCTCGATAGGAAGGACAACCGTTGTCATCGTCGTCGATCATGTCTGACGACCGCAAGGAAACCGCCGTCGAGCACTCGGCCGACTCCAAGGAGTTCGCGCCCGCCGGCGACGACGTCTACAATGACACCGGCGCCGGCGCCGTTCCTCCTCGTCCCGCTGGCTGGATGTACAAGGGCTTCACGCCCTTTGGCAAGAACATGGAGCTCTGGTATGCCTCGCCCAAGGTTCAGCTGCTCATGATCTCCTTCGTCTGCTTCCTCTGCCCGGGCATGTTCAACGCCCTCAACGGTCTGGGCGGTGCTGGTCTCCCCGCCGACAAGGCCTACGTCGGTGCCAACTGCAGTGTCGCCCTGTATTCCACATTCGCCGTCTTTGGATTCTTCGCTGGTACCATCACCAACCGTCTCGGTCTTCGTCCTGCCCTCGCCTTTGGTGGTATCGGTTACTGCATCTATGCCGCCTCTTTCCTGTCCTACAAGCACACTGCCAATGAGGGCTTCGTCTACTTTGCTGGTGCCTTCCTTGGCGTTTGCGCTGGTATTCTTTGGTGCGCTCAGGGTGCTATTATGATGTCTTACCCTCGCGAGGAATCTAAAGGCCGTTACATTTCCGTCTTCTGGATCATTTTCAACTTTGGTGCCGTCATTGGCTCTCTTGTAAGTTACGTCGCTACTCACGTCCCAATTAACTCTAACCCACTTCTCCTAGATTCCTCTGGCCCAGGCTGTCAACGACAAGTTTTCCGACTCTGCCTCGGACGGTGTCTACGTAGGCTTCATTATCCTCATGGCTATCGGTGCTGCTCTGTCCTTCTTTCTCTGCAACGGTGACCAGATCATTCGCGAGGACGGCAGCAAGGTCATTCTGATGAAGAACCCTACCTGGGGGTCGGAACTCAAGGGTCTCTGGGATACCCTGTACCAGCAGCCCTGGATCCTTCTGCTGTTCCCCATGTTCTTCTGCTCCAACATCTTCTACACCTACCAGAACAACGGCCTCAATGCCGTTGCCTTCAACGCCCGCACTCGAGCTCTCAACGGTCTCCTCTACTGGCTCGCCCAGATCATCGGTGCCGTCATCAACGGTTTCGCCCTCGACTACAAGGGTGTCAGCCGCTCCATGCGTGCCCGTCTTTCTCTCGCCTTCCTCATTGCCTGCACATTTGGTATCTGGGGCGGAGGCTGGGCTTGGCAGAAGAACGCGCCCACTCGCCAGTGGTATGCAGACAACAAGGACGCTCCCAAGCTTGACTGGACCGATGGCGGCAGGTTCCTCGGCCCCATGTTCCTGTACTTTTTCTACGGCATGTACGACGCCATCTGGCAAACCTGCATCTACTGGTATATGGGTGCGCTCTCCAACTCTGGACGCAAGGCGGCCAACCTGGCTGGTTTCTACAAGGGCATCCAGTCTGCGGGTGCCGCCATCTTCTGGCGTCTGGACGGCCTCGAGCTGCCCCTGAACACCATCTTTGGCGCCACCTGGGGCTGCCTCGGTGCCTCCCTCCTCATCGCTGCTCCTGTCATCATCATGCGCATCCAGGACCACGTCTCCGTGGAAGAGGATCTCAAGTTTTCCGACGAGACCATCGAGGATGTCATTACCGTGCCTGAGAAGCGCACTGACAGCGTGGCTTAAATAAGTGGTTGTCAGATTTTGTACATGCTCTTTGGAAAGAAATGGGAAGGTGAAATTGGATTTCGACGTCGCCTTGATGACTGCGAGCACATCTTGTACGCTTTTTATTCGTTTGTAATGGCTGCTTCGCATAATTTATATAGCATTTTGCACATTTACTGCCTCAAGTAGACAATATACCCTGCTTAGCATTATTTTGACTTGACTTTTCGACTCTTGCGCATGGTAGATGGTTTGTATTTGTTGGTTCGATATTTTTCACACAAACACCAATAATGAATGTCAGCCAAACTTGAATCCCTACCATTTGACCCTGTGTGGGTGATGATCTATCTACGATTTTACTGGTTATACATAATAAGTACAAAGGACTGCCTCAACAGAGGCATTTCGAACCCTTGCAAAACGGAAGGGCGACGGGGAGAAATCGACAGGCCCATTATACTTTCTCCTCGCCATTGTTCTCGCCCATCAAATCCAGTACCGCCTCCTCGACGTGATCACCCATCGTGTAGTGCGTGTCCTCCGCAAACTCGTGCAGCTCCGCGCGGGGCAGTCTGTCCGCGAGGTAGCGAATGGCCTCGATCGGAGCGTTTGTGTCCTTTGCGCCGTGCCAGATCTTGATCGGCACGCCGACCTCCTCCAGCCGAAACCCCCAGTCGTCATCGGTCAGGATGCGCGCTTCCTGCACCGCGCCGTCCGGCCCCTGCGCGAACGGCTCGCCGACCAGCAAATCGAGCAGCGCCACCCGCCGCTCCGCCACCCGCCGCCCGTCCTCCTCCGCCGTCCCCACGACCAGGCTCGGCCGCGCGCCCGGGTCCCTCTCCAGCCGCCGGGCCTCCTTGTCGCGCGCTTGCCGCGTCGCCAGCTCCAGCCAGGCGTCCAGCCGCTGTTCGACGAACCGCGTGCCCACCAGCCAGCGCACGACGCGCAGCGCCGCCGCCGTGGCGGCGGCCAGCAAGCCCGGGCAGCGATTCGCGAGCACGACGGCGAAGGGCCCGCCGCCGGAGGCGCCGAGCACGGCGAAGCGGTCGAGGCCCTGGCGGTCGGCGAAGGCGGCGACGTCGCGCGGCCAGTCGAGGAGCTGGCGGCGTGGTTGCGGCGTGGAGAGGCCGTAGCCGGGGCGGTCGAGGGCGAGCACGCGGATGGAGTGCACGGCGGCGAGGCGGTGCAGCGCCTTGGCCTCGACGCGCGAGGAAGGGTACCCGTGGAAGTAGAGTAGTGTCTTGAGTCCGCGAGGGTCGCCGTACTCGGCGAAGCCGAGCGTGCGGCCGTCGGGGAGCTTCATTATCTGGTTGTGGGCCGGGTTGGCAGCGGCTGCCTCTGCGGGCGCGGAGGCTGCTGTCGTGTGGGTTGACATTGGTCTAGAGGAGAGGCGAAGCAGCCTCTGCGCTGTTGGTCTAGCGGTCATGGATGGTGAGGCTATCGCGGAAGGGAAGATGATGGTAAATGGGCAACGGGAGTGCGCTATGTTGTACACAACAGTTGGGTTGAATATGATGTGGTCTATGTGGGAAGTCAGAATCCTCCCTTTAGGAGACCTGATCATCTTTATATATGTCGTATGAGTCGCGAGTCGAAAGCCGGTTTGTTCTCGCCGAGGAGTCTCGAGCTCTCAGCCGTAGCGCTCAGTAGTGCCTATTTCGGCAAAGCGCCGCCCGACATGTGGAGTCGACTCGGGGCCGGAGGTCCTTTGAGGAACCCGGACAAGTCGGCGCTATGGAGCGGGTAGGAGGCAGTGTTGATGTTATACACGAGGGTTGCTTAGTATACTACGCTGTTGCCGGAAGTGTCAGATTAAAGTTAGGGATGCATCTCCATCTCCAGCTCCACAAGCCCCAAGATTTCGAGACATATAAGATTTGGAGAGAGTATATGAGAAGTCTACTCCTCGGTCGCAGCAAGTTGCCACACCAGGGTCACCGAGGCTGGACCCCTCCGAGAGTAGCGTTTTGAATATTGGCTGGACATGGTGGCCGGGCGAACCTAGACAAGAGACTATCGCGGAGCGAGGCAATTGCTATCGCGCCGCCATTGGCCATGGCGAGGTCTTTAATCCAAGCCTGGGCCACGAAGCCTTCCAGTCAGGTTGTATGGTAGCGGTGGTTGGTCGCTAGAGCGGCCGTGCATAGTCGATGGAGCTATCGAAGATCAGAATCGGAGATTCATGGCATGTCTTGTGTTGTTAGGAATTCTATACAGACTACAGCTGACTATGTTGATACTGCGATGTAACTACATAGATGCAGTCGGCACATACCTGTTATTAGGCAGTGCACATTACAGGCAGGACGGCGATACGGCCTCCTGTTTACAGTATATTCTTTATAGCTCTTGTTTTCGTAGACCTCTAAGATTTATTTTTCTTGTTATGTTTCTTATTTCTGTTTTGTTATTTGTGTCTCAGGTAATTCCTACATATGTAACCTAGTCAGTTTTAGGTAGGTACCTTTAAATAAAGCCCCGACTAGCTGACTTTCGCCCCCCTGCTCTCTTTCCTCTTGCACACTAGAGATAGGCTACGTTTATCAACAATTATCAATAGGGGAGCATCTTTATCGAGTATTCGCTCTCTGCAGCTTCCTCCAGCTTCCACTCTCGCTTTCCCTTCGTCGCCGCCGTATCTTCAGGTCACTTGTTCGCAGTTATGGACGACGAACGAGCTCCTCTGCTAGTACCCGGCAACGCCGAGGAAGCGGCCGCAGCTGTCAGCCAGCCGCCTATCTGGAAGCGGAAGCGAGCCATCGCCTGGTCACTTGTTGCCATGATTCTCGCGATTGCTGCCGCAATCTTCATCTTTGTTCTTGTTCGCCCAGGCAGCACCCATGGGGGGCGCCGTTACCCTGGCGAATCCATAGTCTGGAAGCCGTGCGGTGAGGCTGACGGCAAACCACTCGAGTGCAGCTCCATCCACGTGCCCATGGATCAGTTCGATGCCACGGCGTCCGGCGACAAGACCTTTTACATTCCCCTGATCCGACGCCGCGGCAGCGCGAATGCCACCACCAACATCCTCCTCAACCCTGGCGGGCCCGGCGGCAGCGGCATCGGTTTCATGAAGCGCAAGGGCGGCCCTATCCACACAATCGTCGGCGAGGATAAGTTCCACCTGCTATCGTTTGATCCCCGCGGCATAGCGGACTCACGCCCCCGTGGAGAATGCTTCAAGAATAGCACAAGCCGGCGGATGCTCCTGTCAGCGGAGACAGGCGAGCCAGCGCAGGACGCAAAACTATGGAGCGAAACAGGCAATGTGATGCGTGCCTGCGCGGACAACATGGGCGATTTTGGGCCGCACATCAACACACCCCAGACGGCGGCAGACATGAATTCGATCCTGGATGCTGTCGGGCAGGACAACCTCTATTACTGGGGCTTTAGCTACGGCACCGCGCTGGGGCAGACGTACGCAACGCTCTTCCCAGATCGATCGGAGCGTGTCGCGGTGGATGGCGTCGTGGACGACGTTCTCTGGTACGACGAACTTCTCATGGCGACGGACTTTGTGGATACTGGGAATTGCTTTTCGGGTTTCTTCGATGAGTGTGTCAAGGCTGGCAACAAGTGTCCATTACACTTTGTCGCCGACGAAAAGGCCGAATTGCAGCGCAACGTGACGGACTTTATCGAGAGCCTCAGGGACGAACCAGCATCCGTCTACATAAACAGCACATTCTTCGGTACTATTGAATATAAGACCGTCATGGGTGCCGTCTTTTCCGCCATGTACGCACCCAAGAGCTGGTACCTGTTGGCCGACAACCTCGCGCAGCTGATGCAGGGCAACGGTACTGGGGCGCTCATTGCTTGGGGTGGCCTCGACGACTCGGACGGCGATGTTGGGGCTGAGGCTGGGCTCTTTGTCGAGTTCAACGACGCACCTGCGGGCACGTCGCGCTGGCCCGCCAAGAAGCGCGAGGTGCTCGACATCGTCCTGCCGTTCGTCGAAAAGTTCCTGCCCTACAGTGCTAGTAACGTCGGGCATTACATGAGAAGGGCACAGTGGCGCATCCCCAAGGCCCACGACTTCCGAGCAGCGCGCCACAACGTGACAACAAAGCACCCGCTACTGGTGCTCTCGACCACGTACGATCCAATTTGTCCGCTTGTCAACGCCAAGGTTGCCCGAGAGTCGTTTGTCGGCGCCAAGCTGGTAGAAGTGAAGGGCTATGGCCACTGCTCGCTCGCGATCCCGTCAACCTGCGCGGCGCGCATCGTGCGCGATTTCTTCGCCACTGGTAAGCTGCCGGAGGAGGACCACACAAAGTGCGCGGCTGAGGGACCGTACTTTATCAGCCCGAACGACTCTAAGACAAGCAAGCTTAGTCTGCAAAGCTCGAGCAATGATGGGCTCCTAGAGGCACTGACAATGCTGACGGATGCGATTAAGCCTGTTCGTAAAGCATTCTTTTAAATTAAATATACTGGACTCTTTACTACTGCCTACCCTGCCTGCCCTCTATTTGTAAAATGAAGAGTGATTCTTTTGGCAAGGTGGGAGACGACAAAGCTCAAAAGAAGCCGGAGGGAGCAGATGGCCAGGTCACAAAGGCTGTGCGACCGGGTACGCCTCACGTAGGAGGGCTACTGTAGGTACACATTGCTTGGGTTGCCTCGCGACGCTGACATGTTACATGGGTATGCCAGCACAGGCCGATATTAAAGAACAAATTGGGGGGGACTTTTGTCTCGCCCTAGGCAGGTGGCAGTGTATGAGTTGGTGGCTGAAGCCAGATAGTGGCGACACTACACGATTTGACACAATTGCCAACAACTATGAAGTACGAGTGCGGTACCTATTCAGAGCCCTAGCAGTAGACAGTTCCTGTTTGACGATGTCCAGGGCCGAAGTCATGTCCGCCGCCACCGTCTAGGAGCGGTGCTGCGAAAGCAAGTTGCATTTCTTGGAAACGACTGCCTAGCGCCACAGATTTTCGAATGAACCGCCATCCACCAGCCACTTCACAACCTTGCAAACTCAATTTTCGAGTTTTGCAAAGCTTCTCCTACCAAAATAACTCAACCGTCTTCAACGAAAACAAGCCGTTTCAGGGCTCGCCTAGCTCAGTTGGTTAGAGCGTCGTACTAATAATTGGATACATCATTCAATATTCAGTAATGCGAAGGTCGTAGGTTCAATCCCTGCGGTGAGCAATCAGACAAGTCCATTGTCTGAACTTTTTTGCTGTTACGCAAAATCGATGAAACCTTTTTTTTTTTTTTCACCAATTTCTTTTCTTTCTCTCATTCTTCGTATCAAATTCTTAAATGATTTGCCTTCTGCTTTTCTTTTTAACCCACTCTAGTTTGTGAGCCTCTTCTTGTAGTTGTTTCCATTTTTTTGTTTCGAGTTGTTTACTAAGGAAAACCTTGTCGGCTGTAAAAAAGAAATTTGCATTTGCTTGCCCATCCATCTATATCGCAGTCTCTTATTGGAATGATTTACGCGTTTAATTTGTATTCTTGCATATTGAGGTTCGATGGCATGCTTTTGCAGGCTCAAATGCAGTCGGCAGCAGTGTGCGCGTGTGTCGGAACTCGTTGACGGTATAAGTTGTGAAGTTGACAACCGAACACGACAACATATCTGCATTGGTCATTATCTTCACTGTACTTCGGAAAGAACACGCAAAGTCGCCGGAGCACGTGTTGCTTACAAGCACCGAAGAACCGGCTGGTCACGGCCACTTCTTGTCCGCCGCGGCGAGAGCCGGAGCCCTCGGCCACAAGGCGCCTTCCCAATGAAGACTCGTAGGAGATGGCAGAATATCTAAAAGTAGAAATGATCTCACTTGAAGAGGAGACAATTTGTGGCGGCGCTTCATCCCACCGAACAGTATTCGGCTCTTCAACTCACTGCGCCGCCAAGCGGGAGCCTTGATGAACGAACGAACTGCGCCAGATTGCGCCATGCTTCGAGCCATCCTTTGTACCTGAAGGCAATCATCAGATGAAACTCACCATCCCGAACACGTCTCGGTTTAATTTGTCCGCTTCATGAGCAAGAGACGGAAGAGCGCGGCGTCTCGGCAGTCTAGGGCCACACCAGATACCTAATCAGGCAGGAGGCCATCGTTGATGATAAGCCTAGTTGGCTGCCAAGTCGATTCCCCGCCGGACGGAGATCCCTCACACGCCACGCGGCTTGACTGACAATGGGGAGGAAACGAGATGCCGGACCTTTCCAGCAAAGGCACCGACGCCGTTCTGAGAATAGGCCGCTAGTCCCTCCTGTCACAATCCGACCCCAGACTCGACCGCAGATTCGGTGGATGCGACCCTACGGTGCCTGAGAAGCACGCCTTGCAGTGTTTTCTCGAATGCCGCACTTCCGAGGGCTGATGGCAGACCTCCTGGAGATGCCGCCGTGCCGTGGGTAACTTCCCTTTGCATGCTAGCCTAGCACGAGACTCGCTGACAAGTAAATGAAGCCATTCACTGATGATATGGTGTTGTTTTCTCCTATCTTCGTCCTGTTTGAGAGTGAGTGGTAGGATGGTGCGCGCTGACACCGATGAGCTCTGGCGAGCTTCCAACTATGGATTCACATCGTCTCTTCGTCCTGGATTTGGAAGGTGATGCCTTGAACAGGACGGAAACCAGCGGGACAGGGCATTGTGAATCGAAGTGGTATTTGTTTAAGCCGAATGGATCAAACATAAGAAAAAGAGTATAAATACTGCCACATGTTCGAGTTGTGATGACCAGACAGCAGAGCTTCAGCCAAGACTCGAACTTGAACAGTTTCAATCTACTTCTTTACACCTTCCAAACTTCCTGCCATACAAACAAGATGCAGTTGTCCAACTTTGGAAGCTGGTTCGTCGCGCTTCTGTCGGCCTCGATGGCCGCCGGCGCCGCCCTGCCCAAGACCAAGGTCGGCGTCGTCGAGTTCAAGCAGACGCGCAGCGACAAGTTCGTCAGCCGCAACGGGCCGCTAGCCCTGGCCCGCGCCTACAGCAAGTACGGCGTGCCCGTGCCGGACTCTCTCCGGCAGGCGGCGCAGGCGACCAGCCAGTCGCACGCCAAGCGCGCGACGGGCACCGCCGTGGCCAACTCGGACCAGGGCGACCTCGAGTACCTGGTGCAGGTGTCCATCGGCACGCCGGCGCAGAACCTCAACCTCGACTTCGACACGGGCAGCGCCGACCTCTGGGTCTTCTCGACCGAGACGCCCAACCCGGGCAGCCACAACCTGTACGACCCGAGCCGCAGCTCGACCGCGCAGAAGCAGTCGGGCGAGACGTGGTCGATCCAGTACGCCGACGGCTCCGGCAGCTCCGGCGACGTCTACACGGACTCGGTCACGGTCGGCGGGCTGACGGTGGCGCAGCAGGCGGTCGAGTCGGCGCAGCAGGTCTCCTCGCAGTTCGCCAGCGGCGACAGCGACGGCCTGCTCGGCCTGTCCTTCAGCAGCCTCAACACGGTGACGCCCGACCGCGCGTCGACCTGGTTCGACAACGTGCAGTCGCAGCTCGACAGCCCGCTCTTCGTCGCGGACCTGCGCCACGACACCGCCGGCAGCTACGTCTTTGGCGGCATCCCCAGCGGCGCCTCCAACATCCTGTACACGCCGGTCGACAGCAGCCGCGGCTGGTGGGGGTTCAGCTCGAGCGTCGGCGGCAGCTCCGTCAGCGGCATCGCGGACACGGGCACCACGCTGCTGCTGCTCGACGACTCCATCGTCAGCGCCTACTACCAGCAGGTGTCGGGCGCGGTCAACGACTCGCAGCAGGGCGGGTGGGTGTTTGACTGCGGCGCGCAGCTGCCCAGCCTCGCCTTCACGGTCGGCGACGGCCAGATCACCATCGACGGCAGCCTGCTCAACTACGCCGCGCAGGGCAGCCAGTGCTACGGCGGGCTCCAGTCCAACGGCGGCAACGGGCTGTCCATCTTTGGCGACATCGCCCTCAAGGCCGCCTACGTCGTGTTTGACGCCGGCAACAACCAGCTCGGCTGGGCCCAGAAGTAAATGGAGAGGGGGGGGAAGACTGCTGGCGATTAAGCTTTTGGGTTTGTGTACATATCGCGTCAGCTAGTCGGGTGAACTTGTCCAAGTATATATATAGCCTAGGAAAGTATATATCAGAGAAGAACGTTTTTCCAACTTGCCGATGACTTATCTGCCGTTGAGACAGCCTCAGCTCACAGTCAATCTACTGTAGTAAAAAAAAAAAAAAGAGCAAGTTAGAAAGAGAGTCAAAGGACATCGAATGCAAAAATGAAATCCTCAGGTCACGGTGGGGATCGAACCCACAATCTTCTGGTTCGTAGCCAGACGCCTTGCCATTTGGCCACGCGACCAATGTTCCGATGAAGACCAGAAGCCGCCAAAATGCCCTCATACTTGTCCCCTCTGGGTAAAGGGTATGGTGACCAGAACTGGGTGGACAGGAAGGGATTGCACAATCACCAACTCGGGCTTTTAGATGAGCGGACCAATCGAGAAGTCTCGATCGGTATCAATGCATCAGCACGACACGACAGGAACGCCTCGCCTTGCCAGCAGCCTCCCCTCCAGAGCTCCGTTTATTCTCAAGTAAGAAATCACGGATTGCAATCATGGTTTCCAGCCTTCCACAAGAATGCAGCATCTGTCGCCGATAGCAAGGCAAGACGAAGTTATCTAGTCAAGTCGGGCAGCACATATCGCTACCAGACCAACAGGCACTCATATAATCAGCAGCACAAATACTGGAAACCCAAGTTTTTAAACGAAATTCAAGACTCAAAATAGCAACCAGTATACCTAAGTAAATCTTTCAAAGCAACAGAAAAAGAAACATCCCAAAAGAACAACAACAAGAGGGTGGTGCAGTGTCATCATGAAAATGTGTAAAATAAAAAGAAGACGTTTTGAAAAGGCTCGCAGAGATTCATCGGATTACATCACACCCAAAATCTCCCAAGCCAAAATATCCCCCTTTCCCTACTTTATTCCTTTTCAAGGCCCGCCCTTTTCCGGGGTTCTCGTTTCTTGCTTTTTGTTCCTTTTCTGCCATTTTTTTTTTCGTGTTTTGTTTTTGGGGTAGAGGGGAGTCGGAACAGCTCATGTAGAAATTCGGATTCCACAGAAAGGAACAATAGAAAGATCCTCACAATTAGAGACTCATTCGCTACGGGCTGTCCGCTCCTGCGAACCATGTATCGCGCCCACTTCGATCCCAGCAAACTTGATTCATGTTTGCCTCGTCAAGCCGTAGCGTCGCGAGCACATTTCTCCCGATGGTTGTAAGTCGGCGGTGATAACAGAATGCCGCCCAGTCGAAAGTGCGAGGGATTGGGGCTATTGGTCGCTTATTTGCCGCCAAGGCTGGGGAAGGCGGACTCGTCCTTGGTGTTGATGTTAGCAGCACCAGAATGAGCGCCACGAGCACCACCACGAGCACCGCGCTCGCCGCCGCGGCCGCCGCGCTCGCCGCCACGGCCGCCACGGTCGCCACGGTCGCCACGGTCACCACGGTCACCACGGTCACCACGGTCACCACCACGACCACCACGGGCGCCACCGCGGGCGCCACCACGGGCACCGCCACGGGGACGGTCAGACTCGACGAAGCGAGGGTCGAAGTCGATGGTCTGCTTGACCTTGCGCTCACGCTCACGCTGCTTCTTGCCGCCGACGGCAGAGACGTACTCCTCCTCGTCGTTCTCGAGGGCCTTGGCACCAGCCCACTTCTTGTCGAGCTTGCTGCCCTCGTTGGCCTCACGGACCTTGTGGCCGCCAAGAGCCAGCTTCTTCTCGGCCTGCTGGGCGAGGTAGTCGGCGTAGGAGACGCTCTTGTCCTCAGGCTCAGCGGGCTCAGCTTCAGGCTCAGCAGTGACGTTCTTGTCGCCCTCAGCAATAGCCTCGCCGGCCTGCTCATCCTTGAGCTCGGCGTTACCCTCAGTAGAGCCCCAGCCCTGAGCAGTCTGCTTAGCAGTAGTGCTGTAAATGCAATTAGTCGACTTGTCCCTCGATAATTGTTAGCTTCGAAGTGCTGTAGTCAACTTACTCTCGGTTCTGGCGCGAGTGACGGTCATCCTGGTCACGGGGGCGACGGCCACCACGGCCTGAACTAACCGTTAGTACCTATCCATCGTCATGTATGCAGCGTGACGAGAGCGACGAGCACGACGAGCACAAGTGTCATGGGAGGAAACATACCGCCACGAACGCGGGCACCAGCGCCACCACGAGCGCCGCCCTCGCGGGGAGCGTCATCGGTGGAGCGAGCCTGGTTGCGAGAGCTGCCAGCGTTGCGGTCACGGAAAGCTATGACATCCGGTTAGCTCCAGTCCCGGGAGAGCCAGTCGCGCATCGCAATAGATGTGCGGGCTGGGAACAGCAAAACTTACCGCCCTCGTTACCACCAGGGCCGCCACGACGGTTGCCAGTAGCACCACCAGCTCTCACGGGAGCCTGGGGCTCGACATTGCGCTTGGTGGTGTGGGTGGTGGCCTTGTCGACAGTCTTGACGGGGGCAGCGGGTTTGGCATCGCCATCTTCGTCGTTGCCTGGGAATCGATGCAGCGTCAGTATGGTGACCGGTGTTGGGATAGATGGGTGGCTGGCGAGTATGCGACGGTTTCGATCTCGATACGATTTGATGTCGAGCACACAGCCTATGCAGAATAAGGGAGCGGGAGCATACCGAAGTAGGCGAATCGGTTCTGTGAGACAAACGCACAAGTCAGTAAAAATTCATGTCATTGTGGTTGAAGTGCCAATCCCCTTCGCCCGCGCGTCACACCGCGGCCCCAAAAACGCGCGCCGGAAACCAAACGCTGATCGAAAAGTGTCATGTTGATGACTTCAAAAATTGTGCCAAAAAATTGACAAGATAGAACCGTATTTTGATGGGTGTTGCGATGGTCCTTTCCCGCGGCGTGCGGACTCGCTGGCGGCTTTTTCTCTCTTTCTCTTTCTCGGGTCAAGGGGCCTGGATGCGTGGTGCTCGGGGTCCTGGCAGGGCAATCCGTGAATAGAGCTAATCAATGCGTACCTGAGAGGTAATAGAGGACGACATCTTGGTCGTTTTGTTTATGGCTTAACGCCTACCGACGAGGAGCTTTCAATGGCGGGTGGGAGCGTCGACAACGTGTGTGTGAGGTGGCAGAAGGCAAAAAGAAGTGCTCTGGATCGCATGACCTTTGTGTGGGTGGCAGAGAAGCAAGTGCAGGGAGGGCCAAGCCAGGTACCTTGTCTGCCTGCCAGCGAGCGCCCACTGAGCAAGTCCCGAATTCAGAAGCTGCAGCAGATTGGGACGGGACTAGGGGGGAAGAGGGGCCCGCCGACCAGGCTAAAATTGGGGGGGACCTGGCGCTGAAGAGCTGTGTGGCACTGCAGTTGTAGGGGCCGCGCAGCTCCAGCTGGAGCCTGAAACAGCGCTGTTGACAGCTTACAGAGCTCCAACTACAGGGGGAAACAAGCTCAACTTCAGGCGACAATACATCTCCGCTGGCAGCTCTAACTACAGCTCTGTACTGGCCTGGTCGGCAGCCCACACGACACATGCCCAGCGCGCCCGTACATGGCTGGCTGCCTCTATCGTACCGCGTAATACAAGGTAATCAAAAATTGGCAGACGCAAGTGTGCGTGGCTGTAAATAATGTACGCATGCGGCATCTTGATGGCCAAGTGCACACAACCCCCAAAGCCGGCCGGCCGCCTCCTCGCTTAATATCTAATTGCGGCACCAAATTGGTAGGTTGACAAGCCCAGAATTTTTGTGGTTGATTTTTATTTTTATTTTTTTGTGTCCCAAGTAGGGCTCTCTTTCTCAACCTCAACATGGGGCCCCGCACGAGTTAGTGTTTCGCAGTGTGGCAGGCACGGGCACTAACACCATGCTACTCACACTGCTCCACCACTTCTTTGGCTCTTATTAGCCTCTGGTACGCAAGCTAGGCTGGTTTACAGATACAGATATTTACTAACCGCGTTGTAGCCAACAAGGAGCGTGTTTATCCCACAGCTGCGTCTATTATTTACACTCCTATTCCCAGCATTTGTTGATTGTCGATCCGCGGGCGCTGAAAGCCCCGCGCCCACACTCTAGCATTCGCGGTATCGCTTGGGTCTGGGCCTGACTAGTGTATTGCCCAGTGCATAACAACAACTTGAATGCGCATAAAGTCCGCTCTCCGTATTATACTAATAAGTCATCTCGCAAGCACTCCTTGTCATACAAATAGGAACCGGCTTGAGCGGATGAGGTCGAAAGACTGGCCCGTTGAGCGGATCTGCCATGTCAATCCAGATCAGCCCTCGCGAGTCTCCCATCCCGTCACGCTCTTGCCCTAGATTCCCCGTCTCTGTATCGTATTCTCGCCTCGTGCGTAGCTTCTTCTCATCCGTCGTTGAGCAGCAGGGGCCGTCATTCATCATCTGCCATCCCAGCTTAGCCATCCCGCCATCTGCAGCGTCCACAAAATCCACGCAGGCTTGCATGACCCCCGCGTCGCCACGTTCATCCGTGTCCCGCGTCGTTTCCAGCTCGCAGGCAGCGCAGAGCGGCGGCTTCAGAATCTCTGTTTTGTTAGGGTCGACGGCTTTCGTGGTGATGGCTTCTCGGTTCGTGTGAGACGGCGTCGTCCGGGCAACAACCGGACGGCTCCCGTAAAGTAGGCAGCTGAAGCACGTTCTGTGCCAGAAGCACCACCCGAAGCTGACGCAGTCATCACCGCGGCAAATCATCTCCCCGCAGACCCAGCATATCGACAGCTTGATAATGGCGGCCGAGCATTGTTTGCAGGCGAGGCGTGCAGAGTGGCCGAGTATAATCGGGCGTCCGAACGTCGAACAGTGACAATAATTGCATAAGAACTCGTCCCCATCGGCCGGTAAATTTGCTGCGGACATCGCTGTCGGATGACCCTTCCGTTATTGATATTGAGGTGGGTTAATAATTTTCGACTAATTTCTGCTTTCTTCCCTGGGCTGCTTCGGCAAAGGACTGTCGGGGTTTAAAAGAATGTTGGTCAAGTTGATTCCAAGAATAAAGAATCGGCCGAGTCTCTGATGTCAATCCTACCTTATGTACCTACCTACCTACATACGCGGGTAGCTCTCGGCCAGGCGGCAAGTGGCAGGCAGGATCCAAACAGTCAGTCACAGACAGAGCAGCAGCAGCTAAAGAACGTAAGCCATCAGAGACGAAAACGGTGGTCATTTTGACTACACTGACATGTTTGAGAAAACAATTAAACACCTAAAAAACAAAACGCCGACGTGATATCCTTAACCCGCTTTTAAACCCAGAATACCAAGAAACAATAAAACCAACGAACGTAATCTTGAGCCATCGACATGACTCTACGCGGTCAGCAACTGATAAAGAACCTCCAATTATTGGAAGACCGCAAATCGTGAATCCAATGTTGCAGAACAACCAACAATAAATGTACACAGTGCATCCATTGCACCCTTCAAACTCTCGTTTTTGGACGAGCCAGCGCCTGCAGACGGCTCATGCTTATGCCTTGTCTCGCCTTGATAGGACTAGCAGTTCTTGGTGTTGTGGGAGTCTTTGTGAGCTGCTGCCTGCTTGGCGTGAGGGAAGCATTACGATCCAGTCGTGCCCTCTTGGTGCTGCTCTGCGGAGTTGAAGTAATAGCCTTGGCGGACGATAGGGCCGGTCGCTCTTGTCCAGCCAGAGTGTTTTTGCGCTTCTTTGAAGCGCGTTCTTCCGCCTCTCTTTCGGCATCCTCTTCGTCAGTGCTCGGTCGGTGACGCTTTTTGCTCGTCAACCCATGAAGAACGCCCGGTAGTACCTTGGAGGTCGATGTTGGTGCGGTATTCTCCTTGTCGGGGTGTGAGCTCGGAGCAGGCGGTGCGGGGAAGCTGCCCGGCAGACTGGTGGCTTGGGTAAGGGACTTTCTAACATGACGGACGCTTGACTGCCCAACGGAACTACCAAAACCAGTCCTAGGAGCCTCGCCAAACTCGATAGTGTGGTCGCTGCGAAACGTAAACGAGCTCGGCACAGACGGCACCTGTTTTGAGGCTTCTTCGTCTTTTGAGTTGATAAGGTCTTTGAACGCAGACAAATCAGGATAAGCAACGTGACCACCGTTGTCGGACGCAGCATTCTTCATGGCCACATCCCGGGTGCTTCTTGGTCCAGAAGCAGATCTGAACTGGAACAAGGACGACTTGAGCGGCGTGGGAGAGCCCTGATCCGCGGCTGCACGCTTGGTTTCTGGTGTGAAGGTCACCTTTTTCGTCAGCTTACGTCGCGGAGTTGTAAAAGGAATGGGCGGTAGCTCTTTGTCGAAGCGTGGGGGGGCGGGAGTATGCGAGCCATAAAGTGCAGGCTGAGGGATGGCACTGCCAGACGCAAAGTTTGCAGCTGGCTGTGAGCGCAGAATCGACTTGACTTTTTGCATACGCATCGGGCTAAGAATTCGGCGAGCAAATCCGTCAGTCTTGGAAGTCAAGTTCCCTATTGACAGAGACTGTGCAAAATTTGGCGTAGGAGGTGCAGCAACCCTGCTTGGGTTGGCAGACAGCTTAGATGGAGTAGCTACCAGCGCGATGCCAGGCTTACGCGGGCTACCCGTCGGCTTCGTCGGCGTCGATAGTGAAGAAGTTGCTGCCTTTCTGGGGCTACCCAGGGTATGCATACGTGAGGATTTTGTAGGGCTCATCAGCCGTGACAGTGTTGACTGGGGACGCGCAGGAACGCGTGAAACAGTTGGGAGGGTGGAAGGTTTGGGTCTGTTCGTTGATGTGTCGTCCTCCTTGCGCTGCTTCGCGCGTTTAACAGGCTGCCGCTCTCCGGGCGTGCGGTCAGTGGCTTTGCTTGGCGAAGAAACTTGGTTTGCCTTTTTGGGTGATTCTGTGCCGCTTCGGCCATCCAAATTCGCAGCCGAGGACTTGCGCTTCAGATTCTTCTCTGGCGTTTGCGACAAGTGACTATACATGTTTGGCTTTCTGTGAGAAGGCGAATCGCTCGTTTTGCTTGGAGAGTCTGTGAGGCTGGCTTTCGAGGGCGAACGTTTCACGCCAGCCACAACAGGTGTGAATCGGCTTGCTCTCCAAGCGGAAGCATGTCCTTCAATCGAATCCATCTTGTCGAACTCGGCGGCATGAACAGCACTGTAGCGGCCGGCAATGCTCTTTGGCTTCGCGAAGCGGCGCTCACCAATCGCGCCCCCATCAATACCATCAGCTTCCCGCTGGGCGACCAGCTCAACCTTGATCTTAGCTGCCTTCTCTTGAAGCTCCTCCAGGATTTTCTTCGCGTCGCTGCTGAGCGCGCCTCCATTGGTCGATGTCGACAAGTCAAACGTAAAAGTCGACGACGGCATGCCGGTCGAGCGTGACGGAGTCGCAGTTAGCGCAGTGCCGGTGGTTCTCCTATCAGAGGCATCGATATCTGTGAAGCCGAGTGCTACCGCAGATGATGGCTCTCCAATACTTTGATGAAATTTGCTTGGGTGCATCTCGCTGCGAGGTGGCCTGATCACCGACGACGGAGGAGTAGACGGCGCGGGCATGGGCGACTTGGCAATAAAGCGTCGAGGCGACGACATCGCGGCGGGTTCGGTGTCTTCGGCGACAGGCACAAGTTCGGGAACTGCCCTAGCACTCTGCACAATGGTCAGAATCATTCACGCAAAAAATAGCGGTCAGACGATCAACTACCTTAGAGTTGCTAGCGATGCGCGCCGAGCGGCGCCTAGGCGGGGACATCTTGCCAGCGGTAACAAAATGCATACACTTGAGGAAGTTGTACAGAAGCACCGCAATAAATTGGCGTGGAGCAACTCAACGGGCCTGTATAGTGGAATGTTGTAGCATGAACGTAATTGATATGATGTCAACGGGAGCGTGTAGGAAAGGAATGGTTTGTTGACCTGAGTGGGGCGCTTTGTTTACATTTCATGGCCCAAGCTCCATGGAGGGACAACGGAGCACCGTCGTACTGTGTTGAAATAATTTTGACACTGTAAATACACACTGTATCATTGTTGGCCCTCTGTTGGTTTGATAATACTCCAGCCCAAGTTTGTGGAATTTTAACTTTACTCGTCGCAAACGAAATATCCTTCGCCACTGAAATGTATTCACGCAGAGCCCAGAAGACTTGCAGTTGTCGCCAACCCGAGGCAGGCGGAAATGCACAATGCTAAAACAGCTCGGATTGAAGGCAGCCCCTTTTTCTATATGGAATCGACCAACCCTATAAGGAATAAAAACAGTATCATGAAATGCAGTACTAGGTAGGTATAATTTCACGGTATTTATTGTCTCGACAATAACTATGCAATATTCTACTGTCGCCTATCTCGGCTCTCTTCCTCTTCCTCTTCTCGTTCTCTATTACCCTTTCGTAGTAATGAACTAGAGACGAGACGAAAACCTTCTGAGTCTCGCTGTTATCAACACTGTCGGCACAGATCCCGTCGCAGTGCCCGCTTCCTGCTATCACCTGGGAGTCAAATGACGTCGCGTACACCAGCCAAATGCCACCACGTACTAGTAACATCCGAGCTACCCTTCGAAAGCACTTGGATGGAGGGCACGCCGTTCGTCTGCGCCAACCCATAGCAACTCGCATATTCACATAAATGCATTCACGACTTACCTCACCTGTTTTCTTTCCCTTACTTTCACGACGTACTAGGAAGCACGAACGATTTGCTTCACAGGCATGAGAAAAATCAAAGAATCCCTCCAGGGTAGGCAACCGGTAAGACCCATATTTACCCGGACCAATAGGAAGGCAACAACCGCAACTTCACCCACTCGAGCGCCTGTTTGTTCGATTTCTTCTTCCCTTTCTTCATTTGGAGGCTCACTTCAAATATGTCGCTCAGCGATCCTGTACCTCTACATAACGGCGGACTGAAGCGTGTCATACAACGCCTGCGATATAATGGATCTGAGGATGTCGAAAGCGCCCACACTGAGGTTATAGGCGTCCTTATTAATGGCAATCGGGAGAAAGCTGGACGACTGCGGACCTCAAGGAAGATACGCTCTGTACGTGGGGATGCGCCAAAGGCATCTATGCGCTGGAATTCGGTACATCACTGTCTATAGACTTCCCGATAAGTGCTTACTAACGGCATGACAGCTCATGAATAAGTTCTATGCCTGGGGAGAGATTTGACCGCCTGCCGATCCTGAGGCGGCGAGGACAGCTACACAACAAATAACTCTCAAGCATTAAGCAGCTACTGCCCTTCCATCTAGTGAACGCCGCCGGCGGAGGTAGCCAACTGACCCTGAGGTGGGTGTTTCTCCAGCTTGGGAATATTGTGGCCGGGCGGCCCGTTACGCAGTCACGATCAATCATGGGGAAGTGTGCTCGGAAACGCCGCCTGATGCCCGTCGTGCCCCGTAATAATGCGTACATACGTATGCACGCTATGTTGCTGACCATCGGGGCTTCTTTCCTTTGAACACGGCTCTGCTCTAGGTGCATGGCTCTTCAAGGCGCACAGTTTTAATGTCGTAAGAGCAAAGACGTCAATGACACCTCATCGCAATCGACTCCAGAACAGAAGGAAGAAAATGTTCTTTACCCCGGATCTTCGCTCTGCGGGGAAGCGGGCTTGTCATGCATCGTTCAGGCTGCATTATTTCAAGGTGGTGCTGTCAAGTTGGAAATCGTCTGAGGATATAGCTGATACCAAGCGTTTGTGGCTCGGGTATGCTCCCCTACTTGCCAACCCCCGCTCTAAGAAGTTCTTGTATTGCCACACGACAAGACGCAGTGCTACTGACAGCAGGAAATGGCATTTTCTCTGCACTGAGTAGTGCACCATTCTTGCCACCAAACACAAGACTCCGATAGCGGTCCACGAGGGAGTTCTTCTGGAAGTTTCAGTTCCATCGACCATCACTAGCATGTGGCGAATCTCCGGTACTGTATCTCAGAAACAAGTTTGGTCATTTGACTGCCCGCCACCTCAGGGAACTTTTGAAACGGCGCTGAGCCACCTTGATCAGCGGCATTCATCAGCCGGCCCGGAACTGGCGGGCAAGGCAGAGAGACTGCTCTGCCCAGCATTTTTCGAAACGCTAATGGGGTAATAGAACCTTCCGGTGTCATTTCCTGCCTACACGCCACATCCCGTTCCATGTTCGATCGACGCCGAGGACTCTTTGCACGTTTGGCTTCACCTTGAGCCCGCTGTGGTCGGTGGATAGCTGTCGGGGGGGGGGAAACTCGCGGAGGATCGCCGAATGCGCCTTGACTCTGCCTATCCTGTCTTTCAGCTGATTCACTGGCGAGATCTACTAATTCAGGAGGCTTCATATCGTCAGCCCGTGGCACTATGGCCGTGAGGAGGCTTGACTGGAACCGCCAGGACGGCAACCGGCAGTGCACATCATTGCCAGTCAGTCGGGAAATTGAAAGAGCCCTGGCCTATCGCCTTGGAGAGAGTTGCCCAAAAGAGAAGGTAGGCATCGGGGAGAAAATGGCTGTTTAGGCAATTGAAATAAAGCCCAGTGTTTGAGCTGAATCATGGGTTGTGCGCAGGAAGGCCATCTCAGAATACGACGATGGTACGACAGTGGTCCCAGCAACTATTCTGACCAAAAAGAGACTGGACTGGGATGATCAGGGTCTGTCTGACTGAAGAAAAACCGACAGCTCATTTACAAAGGGCCAAAGCTCACCCGGAGAGGTCCTCCGAGACAGGCGAGGTTAGTACATCAAAGAGCCTTCTAACCACAACTCTACATAGAGCAGGAGCAAGCTGGTAGGGACGCAGGAGATCAAGGGCCGGTCCTCCTCGCCTCCCCTTGATCTACCGGAACGTTTCCACAAAAATCTTGGACAGGGCTGAGCGAGGTGGACTCGAGCTGGTCGAGCGACCGTGGCCTTGCGATGCTATTGTTTGAACCTGTAACTGTGGCTTCAGATTTGAAGTCATGGAAAGAGCAAGGTGCTGGTGTCCAAAAGGCCCCAAAGCTGGGTCTGGGAAGATGAGCTGTGTGAGGAAAGGGACGAACTCCACCAGGGAGGTTGCGCCTGGGTCCGTCGGAAAAGCCACCCACGGCATCTAGTCCAGAGGATGGAGAAGATGGGTCGCTGGCAAAATTGCATCATTGCGCGATACTGTATGAAGCTTAGGATAGATGCAAGTTGTTGTGAGGAGAGCCAGTGGCTTCGCTGCAGTACCGTCAGCGAAGCGTTGCGTATCGAGACGAAGGCCGATAGCTTTACGCGTCGTTATGCATGTGGCTTGCAGAAAGACCATCAAGATAACCGCATGATGAGTTGGGTTCAAATCATCGTAGATATCATTTTGGACTATCAGGATTCATTTTATCTCTATGGAGTCTCAGATCTCCAGCAGCTGAGGCCCCGATACTGGAACTGGGTCGAGTGGGTGAGAATCGAATTGGTTGAGTTACGAGGACCGGGGCCGGGTCGTCGCCGTCGGTCATACGGTGAATCGGTACGAGGACACAAATCAGAGTACAGGCTAGATAGCTTAGATTGTGGGATAAATGTTGCCGTGCTCAGAGCGAACGGTTAGAGGTGCCTGATTGTGGTGGTGGTGGTGGTGGTCGTTGCATTTTCTTTACTTGGGACACAAGCGAGGCAACATCGTGCGAAGGCCTGTACATGGGTAACTCATTGTCGGCCAATCAGAAACAACCCTCTTGGAGATGGCGAGAAGCCTTCGCCAAACGCCTATCAAAAAAGCAAGTTCAGCCATTGCTGATACCAAAGTACCAGTCAATCTCCCACAGGTGATCAACACGGAGGAGCAGAGAGAGATAGCGTCTCCTGAAGTTGAAAACGAGGCAAACAGCCCTGAGAAGGTCGCCTAGATTGAATACATTCTATGCGACTGCCTTTTTCAGCGTAGAATGTTGGGGCCGTGTTTCTTGTAACCTCCCTCTTTTAGTAGAGCGCCAAATGGCGGGTGTCACGCTTTTCTGTAGAGTCCACGGAGCTGGGCTTGATTAGTGAAGGCGCTAGCCTTCTGCGGTGTCCAAGAAAGTCCACTTTAGTGATGATGAGTGATGGAAAAACTCATCCCCTGATTTTTATATTATTTTATTTCAGTATCAGCCAGGCAGGGCGCCAAAGACAGAGCAGAGCAAAGAACTTTTTGCGCGGCGCGTGGCCAGGCAGCCCTTCCCCTGGCGTTATCGGGACCATGGGACGAGGCAGCGACCTGCTGGGGAACTGATGAGTTGGAGATGTGTACATACGGAGATACAAGGAGTGGAGAGAGCTTTTTGAAGGCCGTGGCGGTGGCTTGTGGACGTGTTGCACGCTCAAGAGGGGGCAGTCAGCGTGAGTTGGTACTTGGAATGAGGTTCCGGGACAGAGCCATTCAGGTACTGTGTTGTAGGTTGCGGTGAAGGGGTCGTTCATCTCAGGCATCAAGTGACGAGCCATCCATCCATCATCGGATGCAATGGTAACGGCACATTGACGAATACCCGGCCTGCCCCCAATTGGCTTGCTCCTGATAGAACTTCTGGGGAAGCGTTGGCTCATCGTTAAGTTATGTTTGGCGGGGTGATGCAAGGAGGCTTGCCAGGCGGCGCACACTTTTGGGCGTGTGTATTCGTACAAAGACTGGTTGCTTGGGAGTCGTGATAGAAGGTGGCTTGAAGAGAAAGAAGCTAGAAACCGACAAGACTACCCCCCTGGACAGCCACCTCTGGGCTAACGACTAACGACTCAACAAGACCCAGCCGGCTCCATCTTGGTTTTTGTCGTTGTGAGACACGCACCCTGGTGGTTCCCATCCCTGTACCCGTCCGCTATCCTGTATGGCTGGATGGAGTTTGGGATGCAACGGGCCACCAGCCTCCGAAGTAGACCATGTGCGGACAAGCGTCGTGAACAAGTTCCTCTCCTCCTTCCCCGCGTGGCCTTGGACGAAACCCACAGCAACCGGGCAGAGAGAGGCTCGTCGATGGGCTGGCCTGGCGCCGCCGCCCACTTGCTCCAACTCGAGTCGAGGATGGTTGGATGGGATGGGGGCAGCAGAGTTCCAGGCCATGCCAGGAAGAAATGATGCCTGGCCGGTCGGCGGCGGCAGCGGGTTGGTGAGGTGAAGCTGTTCGTGGGACGCAAGTGCAAGGTTCCTCCAGTCCCCATCCAAGTACCCCGTCCTCGCGTACTTCCCATTACATAAAAGACTCGTGGCCGCCTCCCCCATTCCCTCGTTGTTGCCCGGCTTTGGCTCTGCGACAACCCCAGAGTAAAAAGGAACTGTCACTCTGTCAGCCAAGGCTATTGACAATTGACAATTGTCATTTTCTGAAACGGGAAACACGGAAGAAGCAAAAACATCTTCTCTTTGATATCCTTTTTACAACTTTATTTTCCGGCAACCGACGCCCTCTTGTTCTCGCAGTCCACGGAACACTGCGACGCCGGCCTTTTTCAGCCACCCACCACCAGCTTTTTGCCTACCAACCGTCAAGGCACGCCGTCGCTCGCCGCCGCCCGGCCGCCTTCCCCTCCTTCAGCACCTAGCAGACTAAAGTACCTTCCGAATTACCGAACTGTGCAAAGGTACCACAGCCTGCACCTGCACCACGCCAGGTCACAAGTTCCTGCAAATTTTTGCCCAAGGCTACAGAACCAAGACTAAGGCAGCCTCTCACTGCCGTAGCCGGAACCTGCCCTGACCACTCATTCCCTACCTACTCCCCCGCTTCTGCCTGCAAACCCTCACTTTACCCCATCTCAACTGGGCGCCCTCTTCCTTTCTACTTCATTTTTCCCCCATACCATCTTGTCCATCTGCATAGGCACCCATTCTTATCAATCCTCATTGATATTACTACTACATTGCGTGTGTGCGTTGAGACGACCCCGTTTTGCTACCCGGCCATCTCTCGATTCATCTGTTCCTGCATTCCCCGCGTTTGTTACTCGAACGACAACAGGACACCCTCAACCAAGAGGCCAGCCCTATAAAAAATCAAACACACAACACACAACACGCACACAGTTTCTGCCTTATAATACGCATGGCCGCCGGAACCAAAATGTCCATTGACAGCAAGCCCAAACCTTCCCATCGGGATGAGAGTGAAGACTCGGCTGGATCTACCCCCGAAGGTGAACGAAACCCCATTACAACCGCCGCCATAGAACCCGTACAGCCTAAGCGAAAGGGCGGCCGCAAGCCGGTAAGTCACCAAGAGGCGCCGCATCACTTATACTTTGACTGACTCTGTTTCAGATTTATGCCACTTCTGAGGAACGCAAGCAAAGAAACAGACAGGCTCAGGCTGCCTTCCGCGAGAGGCGCACCGAGTACATCAAGCAGCTCGAAGAGGCTATCCAGGTTCACGAGACGAACCTGCACAACCTTCAGAGTGCCCACCGCAATGCTGCAGATGAGTGCCTCATGCTGCGCTACAAGAATTCGCTTCTTGAGCGCATTCTGCTGGAGAAGGGCATCGATGTCCACGCCGAGCTCCAGGCCAAGACTGGCAGCCCAACTCTCGGCCCAACCCACATGCCCCAGAACATGGTGCAGCCTCCTCCTCTTCAGAGGCCCATCATGAACCGCGCCCGCAAGTCCGTCTCTACACTTGCGCCCAAGCTTGATGCCAACAATTCTGCCATGACCAGCATCAAGCCCGAGACCTCCCCCAAAGCTCACCCTACTCCCTCCCCCAGCAACTCGGGCTCTACCTTCTCTCCAGTCACCGAGAACACTGGCATCAAGGCCAATTCTCTCACCGGCTCCCGTCATCAAATGCCTTCCATTATCACCAGCGCCCCGGGTCAAACCCCCCTGATGGAGCGTCGTTCCAGCTCACTCGTCAGCCCTGGTGGCGCCTTCTACCCCACCCCCGCCTTTCACAACCACCTCGATTCTCTCGAGCAGCATGAGTACGACCATCATGGAGACATGATGCAAGATTCTGAGCTGGATCATGGCGCTGTCAATGAGCCTTTTCATACTTCCTTTGCCGGTGGCGAGGGCATGATGCCTCCCCCTACCTCGGCAGCTGGGAGCCACCATGTTCCCGGATCTGGCCCTGGCTTTTCCATGAGCCAACTTCTCGACCAAAACATGGATTGGGATCCCTTTGGCCTCAGTGCCAGCATGAACTTTCCCACACAGCAATTCTCATTCGACCATTCCGCACCCCTACGATAGTGTCGTGCCATCGCGGACCAAACCACTCTTTACAGCCACGGCTGAAAGGTGTGGTGCAAACAAGCCATCATCGCCGGTTTCTGATTCTCGCCTGATTCGAATTGCAGCAAAAATGACACGACCTTTACGATTATGAGCGCAACACCAAATTGATGCACCCACCAAACCCGGAGCAGTCCACGTTATGGACAGGCCTCCGTTCCCACACGGAGATGCACATTGCTTTATCAGAATAGCCTAATTGACTAGCCGCTTGCGGTATACTCATTTACGAGCAACTTGCGGGAACACACAATGCCAAGCCGGCCCCGATCTAATAAATCAGATCTCGGCCTACTAAGGGCGAAGCTTGTGCAACCTCCCCGGACTTTGCAAGGGCGTCTTGTCCTTTCACGACCTCGCTGTGTCGCATCAGCAGCACGCTATTACCATCGATTTAATACGGCCTTCTTCTTGCCTGTGTTTCTTCATTTTTTCGGCACTTGAGCGACATTTGGGCGCTGGCTTTTACCAGACGCTTCCTTTGATCACTTTCTGCACTGCCCTTTACCGCACTTTCGCGGTTGAAGCCAGTCTGCGACATCTCTGACGACATGCATATCGACAGCTGCGTCCCAGGAGAATTTCTAACCTGTCCTTGTCTGTTTTTTGGCGTTTGACGGAGATGAAAAAGTTATCGCGGTCCAAAGGATTCAAGAGCTCGCTTCAAGGCCTGCTGCTTGGTACCACACTGACCCTTAGCGAGACTATTTGAATATACTAGCAGTGTTTTGTCACACATGAGCGTGTACCACGGTGGTGTTTTACGGCGGGCAGCGCACCCTGCGACGGTAACGACTTATTGGTAATGAATGGGTGGGTAACCATGGTACAGCGGTTTGTATTTGGTGTTCTTTTGTCGAATGATACCCCGGGAATTCTTTTCATTTGCGGTTGAGATTCGGAACTGGCATTTTTCTGCACATTTGCATTCCCCTTTTTCTTTACTATCACTTACGAAAGTTTGCGGGTGATGGAGAACCCTCCGACCGGAAGCTGGACTCTGTCCTGGGGATGTGTCGTTTATTCCTGGACGAGTTTTGCCCCTTGCCGAAATGCAATTGGGAAGTCTTGGTATGCTGGAACACGACGATTTTCTTCGTTTTACCCGGTCATCCAAGTATGCCCGGCGTCTTGTTCACTTCTCGATCAGCACAGTGCAACAACTCTTCGCTGGTTGAGACAATGAACAGACCATGGTGCAAACCACCAGTCCTGTCAGCAGGACTTAGGGTAGCAGATGCCAACTGGGATGGCGATAAAAGCCCATGACGCGAGATGGAAGTCGGCTGGATTTGCCGATGATTTTACAGTCCCCCCTGCGGTGCATTCTCTATATTAATATACTATATGCTAAACAAGTGACTACGTAGATGTAGTGGTGTAGAGGTGCGGGGTGTTTCTAGATATTTTAAGTAGCTACATAGATGATAGTCAACATAGTAATTGACTTGTCCGTGCAGGACGCGGAGGATGGAGGACTTGGGAGGTAAAGTTGGTCAGACAGCTGCGAGGTTGTGGTTTCGATTGGGCATGTGGCTCGAAGTTGATAGGGTATCTTGTTTATACAACTACAGTTATGTACAAGATGGTAGTTGGTCAGGCAGTTTGTTATGGAATCATGTAGAGGATCGCCACGGCTCCCCATCCAAGCGCCAGCAGACCGCCCACGCCAGCAGAAGGCCTGGTGCTGGGGACAGCACCGCTACCCATGCTATTCGACAGGACCGCCGCCTTGCCGACCTCTCCCGCGTCGTCAACCGTGCAGACGACCCTGCACCGGCCGCCCCCTCTTCCCCTGCGAACCGCCGCGGCGCGCCTGGTGGTGTTGTACAGCATCTCGATCCACTGGATCTGCAGGCTCGCCGCGGCGCCGACCGTCATGTTGCCGCTCCACGAGCCGCCGTCGCTCCAGGCGTTGAAGTTGACCGCCGCCGGGTCCCGCGGCACCTGCAGCGCGATGCTGGCCGCCTCGCGCCCGTCCACGTACCACGTGCTGCGCGCCGGCGTCCAGTCCAGGCGGTGCGCCGCCCACTCCGACCACGCCGCCGGCGCCACGCTCGCGTTGCGCGTCGCCCCGGCGACCTCACCGTCCGGCAGGTCGGACGGCTGGTTGGTGTACTGCATGACGGAGCGCGGCCCGCGCGTCAGCACCTCGACGTCGGCCTCCTGCACGCGCGCCGGGTCCGGCGACCCGCGGTAGGTGAACATGGCGGTGACGGCGCCGGGCGCGCCGACGGTCCGCGCGCGCATCCGCAGCGACAGGAAGTGGTAGTCGGCGCGCGAGGTCTGGAACTCGGCGGCGGTCTGGAAGTCGGCGAGGCGGGCGGTACGCATGGTCAGGAACGTCGCGACGTCGCTGCCGCCGTCGCTGCCGTCGGCGGCGGCCTTTTCGATGAAGATGTTGCTGGCCGAGTTGATCATGTAGACGGTGGCGTCGTTGGACAGGGTGTTTTTGCTGCTGCTGCGGCGGCGGGAAGCGCCGCCTTTGCTGTTGTCCCACGTCTCGACCTCCCAGAAGGCGGTCCAGGTGTCCGAGGTGAAGAAGTCGCTGGTGGGCGGCGCGGCGGCGACGGCGGCTGCGTCGCCGATGATGGCGGGCGGGCTCGCGCGTGGTGTTAGTTGCCGAAAGTCGAAGAAGGCGTGGTGGGTGTAGTAGCCGGGGTTGGTCCCGTTGGAGAGGAAGCAGTCGCACTGCATGTCCTCAACGGTATCAACCGCGGAGGACGTGGGCAAAACGAACGCTGTTGCCAACAGAGCGGCGATCATGCGTCGTGGCGGCATGGTTGTTGGTGAAACGGTTTCCGTGCAAGTGGATTGACGGTAACCGATCCGATGAGATTTTGTTGCGTCGCGTTTGACATGTCCAGAAATGCTTATAGGTATATACAGATGAAAGGTGCTGATATCGCTCTGCTTTTCTCGAAACGACCTTTTCTTATCCCTTCAGTCTCAGTTGGCCGACCTACTCGTAACACCCGCGGAAGAGGCGCAGCGAGGCGTTCTAGATCACGAAACCCCGAGATTTGGCGGCCACGCCGGCGATGGCGCGCACGACTCAGCCGGTCCGTCAGTAATCGGAGGCAGGGCAGAATAATAAGCGCTCTATGCTTATAGTTGATTAAACTGCTGCTAGGTTGCCCATTTTCACTAGTTCACGGGGCGGAGCGTTGAGCGAGTTGCGAGCTTCTATGTCAAGGCCGAAATCATCAGTCACTTGGCCTGTCAATCTTCGTGTACCATTCATTCCACGCTGGCGCCCGTGTATCGTGTCACTGGGATGTGCAACAAGGGTCAGTCAATGGCAGAGTTGGTGAGAGGGGAACTTCGACCCTTTCCTCAGCTTCCTCGGCTTCGCATTTGTCCCCAAAACGTGCGCAGAGTGGCCGGTAGGCGCTCTATTTCAGGCACCGCATGAGAAGAGAACTCGTAGATGCCCAACCTGTCCTGTTCATTGCAAGAATTCCAGAATCATCTTCAACGCCAGATGCGCTGTGCAGTCACCGTATCGCACGTGATGCGTGCCAAGTGCGGCTCACCGCCAACCAAATTTGGCGTCGGCAAGGGAATGACGACTTATTCTGCCCGGCTGCAAGGGCACCCCTGCAAACCTTCTGCCAGGCATCACGCCCTCCGTTATGCGCCGCGCAACATTGCACACACCACCAAAAGCTTCACAGCCAACAGACATGCGATTGTAGCGTCTCTGTATCCTCTTTAACAGGTGCCCAAAGTATCATGACTATGGCTGCTTTTCCAGACGCTCACCATTGCAGATGATTACAGGAGCATCACGAGCATCACGACACAGCGCCCGCACTGAATTTTCTTTTGCTCAACAGAGTGCATCAATCAAAACAATGGCGTCGCCGGCTCCCGAATCCGCCGCGGGAAAGCCCGAGCGCGCAACAGAAGAAAAATCTATCGACGCGGCTCCTGCCGTTGATCATGCGGCTCGCGCGGAACGCGACGACGATGGCATTGCGGGTGGCGCAGAGACGACCCCTCCTGCCGAGGAACAGGAAGAGGACAATGAGGCACACTCAAGCTCGCCGACTCAAGCAGACCTCGAAGACGGCGAGGTAGAGCCCTCCGCCGCCGACGCAGCGCCGCCCCTCCCTAACGAGCCCACGCCGCCCGCCGGCGGCCCCCCGCTGCCCAGCGAGCCCGTGCCCGAGGACGATGGCTGGGACTGCCAGTTCGACCCCCGCACGCAGGCGTGGTTCTTCTACAACCGCTTCACCGGCAAGACGCAGTGGGACAACCCGCGCGTGCCCTCCGCCGCCGCCACCACCGCCGCCGCCGCCGCACCACTATCTCCTCCCGCAGCCGCCGGCGGCTACAACCCGGCGATCCACGGCGACTACGACCCCGAGGCGTGGTACGCCAAGGGCTCCACCCAGGAAGACGGCGCGGAGCAAAGTACCCTTGATGACGCGGCGGCGGACGACCTGTACGCGGCCACGGCCACCTTCAACCGCTTCAGCGGTGGCTTCCAGGACGCGGACGCGGCCGGGCGGCACACGGACGAGGCCAAGACGCGACGCCAGATGAACGCGTACTTTGACGCGGACGCGGCGGCGGCGGCGCACGACGGCCGCAGCCTCCGCGCGGAGCGCCAGGGCAAGCGCCCGAGCAAGGCCGAGGTCAAGGCGTTCAGGGAGAAGCGGCGCGCGCGCAAGGAGGAGAAGCGGAGGGCCTGGCTGCGGGACTGAGAGGCGCAGCCGGCGAGGAGGAGGTGCGTGTACGGTGAAGGGGGTGGCTTGTCGTCTTGTTTGGTTGTTTACATTACGGGATAGAGTCTTTGTTTCTTATAGTCCTGGTCAAGGGAGGCGTTGTGGTCGCTCGCTCGCGGCTAGACATTTGCGTTGCATTTTGTATAGGCTAGATAGGCGCTGGATTTGGAACAAGTCTGCATGCATGTAGACTCTGTGTAATTTATATACCCATGGCATGAATCATCTCCAAACTAAGCCGGTGAGATGTTCTATGGCTTGCGTAAACATGATATTGTGTATCCCTGATATGCAAAAGTAACTACCCTTCCAAATTACTCATCATCATCCTCGTCATCCTCGAGCTCCATGTTCAAATGCACGCTGACATCGCTGTCGTCATCGTCGTCTGCATCCTCCTCTTTCGGCTTCGCCGCGGCAGCCTTCGCCTTGGGCAGTTCTGCGGGTCGCTCGACCTCGAGACGCTTTGCCGGCGCTGCTGGCTCATCCTCGCCATCGTGCTTGCGCTTGGGCGGCGAATCAGAGGATGTGGCGGCGGCAAAGCCATTATCGGCAGCGCCGTTGCGCGCCGCAAATGGATTGTCCTGCGGCACCTCGACACTGCTCTTCTTGGGCAGCGATGCCAAAGACCCCAGCCGCGAGAGGCCAGCTCCGCTGGTCGCCACTGCAGGGTCTGTATCGGTGGCGGCAACATCAGCATCGTCGTCTACCATTTCCTCATCTACATCTGCGTCATCCTCTTCCTGTTGCTCTTCCTCCACCTCCTGGAAGGTAGCAAACATCTCGCCGGAGCCGTTGATGCCGCTCGTACGAAGGTTGCTGCGCAGGATCTCAAGGCCTTGATCCTCAGGGTACCTCCGGCAGAGGTACGGCAGGATGCTCGGATACAGGCGGCCGCGCTGGTCCTTGTAGGGGTTCAGCACGCTTGCGAGCATGGCGTCGCGGTCGGCCGTGATAATAGCCGTCTTGTCGAGTAGCCCGCGCATCGTCGGCTTCAGGTGGGCCTGCGGCAGCGACGACGGTAGCGTCGCAAGCAGCTGCGTGGCGGCATGCTTGTGAGCGGGCTCGAGCCCGAGGCCGGCGGCTGGGAAACTGCTAGCGGCAGCGGCGTCGGGCCGCGCCAGGAAGAGGTCTACGTTGGCGATGGCAACACTTCCGCCGTTCTTCTTGGCTGCTGTGGCGTCCTTGCCGGAAGATGCAGGCTTCTCGGCAGGCTTGAGGATGCCAGCATCCTGCTGGAGGTCTCGGCAGCAAGCGCCTAGGATGGGGTCAAGCATGTCGACGGTAGTCTTAGGCATGGTAGATCCTGCGATGTGTAGGAGCTGGTCCAGAACCTGGTACCCTGCAGTGCGGATGTTTGGGATGCTCATGCCGGACTTGACAACGCGCACGAGATGGTCAATGGCCTCGGGTACAAGCGGGATCATGTCGCGATAGAGCCGCTGCACCATGGTCCGGAGTAGAGACAAGGCGGCAATATGAAGGCTCGGTACAACGCTCCACAGTTCGTCCTTTTCGTCTCGGCCAACACCAGAATTCGTGTCTAGTGCTTGATCCCAAGTTTGTGTCTTTGGTGATAGGCGGGCAATAACACACATGCGGCAGACAGCATCCATGTATGCGCCGATGGGGACAGTAACTGGAGATTTTGTAGAACAATTCAGAGTCTCCTCCAAGTATGAGAACAGGCCAGCCAGGCGCTCAGCTCCCGCCGTAACCCCAGCCCATGAGGGCAGCTGCTCGGGGCTAGACTCATCTCCTCCCGCGGGTTCGCCGTCAGTCGACACGCGGTTTCTGTCATAGCCAGAAGTGGGCTGCCAGGCTTCGTCGACGGCTCGCAGGACCTGATCAGCCGTCTGGTGGAGGTCGCGCAGGATGGAATCGACCAGTTTGCCCCATTCATCGCTGCCGCTGGACTTGGCGGCAACGAAGTGCATGGAGATGACGAGCCTCCTGGCAGCGCGCGTCAAGCTGGCAGGTACATGCAGGGTGTCGGAGCACGTTGGTGCGAGGTACGGCCTCACGGCGGTGCGCAGCTGTGAGCTCAGAGGGCGGAGAGTGGCGGGATGGTGAGGAATCAAGGTGTGCAGCGCTGCGCAGATGGTCTCAGACACATGCGGCGGCGTTGACGAGTGCGCCTTGAGAAGCTGGACACAAGCAGCTCCGAAGGCCGGGATTGTGGGAGTGGCAATTTCGCGGATGAGGGTTTGGTAAGGCTGGATGAGGATGTAGATGCGGGTGATGACGATGATGGCAAGCTCTTTAGACGCAATAGGGTCTCCTTTCTGCCAGCTGTTAGTAAGTTGGTAACGAGAAATGTTTCAGGGATTGATCTTACCTGAACTATGGAGAGTAGGCCATTGACCCAGGGACCGGCGGTGCGAAGAATCTCCCAGCCACCAACATCGACGACGGCCTTGATCAGGACGACGGCGGCGAAGCGGCCCTCCCGGCTGCGTCCTTCCAGTAACGTGGTGATACTTCTTTTGAACTTGTGAACTAGGGCGGAAATTGAGGCATCCTCCTTGACCTTGGCATCATGCTGCGCAGAAAGCACGTCCTTGCAGCGCAGCACGTTGTGGGTGAGGGCCGGCAGCTGGTGAGGAAGTAGGTTGGGTGGGATGGTGGTGAGTTTGCGGCAGAGAACGCGCAGATCGGGAGGACATTGTGGTGCCATGGAGGCAACTGAACTTGGTCGCAGAATATGCGACGAGAAGGATGATGGCAGCTGGATAGGGTAGGGAAGCGTTGCTTGGGTGAAGGAAGGGTTGTATCTGATGCGAGGAGCTACTCCAACCCAAATCGACAAGCCTTGGCGGAGGAAGAATATACCAGGATAGGATCCGAATCAGGGCCAAGTAGAAAATGGGATAGGCAATATGCGGAGAAATCCAATTGGAGGGTAGAAGCAAGGTCAAATAAGAATTCTGTTGAGATAGGCTTAGAACCAGGCAATAGCTGCTCGCGAGGTATTGGCGTCGACGGCTCGCGATAAATTTTTTTTTTTTGAGAAGTTGGTCACCGATCCAGCGGCGGCCCACACGAGCTGCAGGCGTTGTTTAGTGGAGTTAGCGCCACGGTTATAAGGTTCCTGGCCGGTACAGCTTTGTCAATGAATATCCCTGTCGGTCGCAGCTTGTCCTGGCGCAGTCCCAGTTCAATTGAATGAAGATTCTAAATTTAGCAACAAACAATAAAGGTCAAGACTAAATCGATTCGATCCGGTGCAGTTTTAAGTGGCTACGTAACGTAGGAAAATAATGATCCCAGTATCACGCACTACTCAGTGAAGCAGTTCATCAAGTTTTTATGGGGGTTCAGGGGACCATGGGGCTCTTCAGCAACGCTGATTGGCTGCAAAAATGGCAGTTACAAGCAAATGCTCAACGACACCGGAGGCGCCTGCTCACCAAGGCCTAACAATTAGACAGTGCATGCACGTCGATGTGACAGAGAGGGAAAGGGTCATGTCGTACGGGTTGTACAATTTTTTATTATTATTCTGGGGCTTTCCATATCATCGAGAAAGGTCTAAATTCAATTGGATAAACGGGAAAAATCCAGTGCGACAAAACACATGTCAATCACTCACTACACATGTTCAAAATGCCCCATCCTCCAACCGCTTCAGTGCCTTTCCGGGGCCGAGGCTCACTAACCGTTGGGGACCTAGCCTGCTAGCTGCCGCCCGTGACCCCTCAGCTCAGGTCCCAAGTCACCCCGGCCCTCCGCCCTTGCAGATGCCATCCCATGCCATTGTCCGCAGACCTGACTTCTTTCTGGGGTAAATTCATCATCAAACTCACAATTGGCCACCGCTTCCTCCAGATCCCCTCATCTGAGACTTTACGTGCTCGCGTCGCCATGTGCTAACCCGTTGCTTGCACTTCCCTCTGTTCTTGTTCTCCTGGTCTGATTGCCCAGCGAGCCGACCCACCAGCCGCCCGCCACTGCGCATCATCGTCACCCAAAAGTTAACTACCTTGGCCACCTCCCCCAAACCTTCTCCTGACCCCGAGCACCAGCACAGGATAGGCTGCGTTTGCGCTTCCCAGTCTACTGCCTCGGAACTTCTGCGCAGACATGACTGTACGTTCCTCCTTCCACTCTGATATTCCCGCAATGTGCTCGCCCAACTGACAGTATCTCTCCTCCCGCTAGTCCAAAGCCGCCAACTACATTGAGCACCTCGACATTGCACGCTGTCGAGGCGACTGGGCAGTTGTACCCGAGCTTGTCCGCAAGGTGCGCAAGCACGCTCCCCAGCGAGAATGTATGTCTCTCCCTTGTCCCCAATTGCTCTCTGCGCACTCCTGCTAACTTGCTCCCCCTCTCCAGGCCTCACCCTGACCGCCGAAACCGAATGTGCCATCTCCAGCGCGACAACGGGCTCCGAGCGCCCCTCCATAGCTGCCATCATCGAGAAGCTCAACGTCGATGCCACGATACCCAAGCTGCAGGCCGCCATTGAGGCCGAGACGGCCCATGGCCAGGATGCCTTCCAAGCCCGCGTCTGCGTTGGCTGGATGTACTGGGTCGTTGCCGAGTATGCTCTCGCCCTCGACCACCTTCCCAGCGGCCTCGCTGAAGTTGGCGAGGACGCCCGCAAGTCTTTGACCGAGTGGACCAGTGTCTGCGCCTTGAAGTCTGCCTATCTCAGGGCCAACTGCCTTATGCGCGACAATCAGCGCCAGTCCGCCCTCGCCGCCTTCCAGTCCGGGCTACCCTCCCTCGATCGCGTCTGGGGAGGCCAGCCTGTCCAGTCCCAGCTCAAGTACTGGTCCGAGCTCTACCTGACCGAATACTGTACCTTGACCAGTCAATCTATCCGCCAAGGAGACGCCACATTCGAACAACAAAACTCAATCTCCTGCTTCCGAGCCTGGGCTCGCTACTGGGAGGCCATGTCCGCCCCCGTCACCGGCGGTTTTGGCTTCAAGGGCTCCGCCACATCTGTCCCCCGACGATCGATATGGAACGAGTACTACCAGGGGCTCTCCAAGCATCTTCTATTCGACGACGCATTCCCCCCTGCCAGCCTCGGCAACGTCCCAGCCGACACGCCGGCCCGAACTCAGCTGCGCATGGAGCTGAAGCGCGTCGAGGCTTCCTATGAGAAACTTCTCCTCTCCGAAACGACATTTCCTCGAGCGGACGAGCATCGCGAAGAGGTAGAGAAATTCATCAAGCAAGTCATGGACAATTGGGCTATTCTTTGTGGCCGTGGTTGGAGTGAAAAGGATCTTGGACAGGCTGGTCGCGCAGGCATCAGTCGTGGTGTTCTTGAAACACTGTACAGCGCCGCAACCAAGACCTACCATTCCACCCTCATTCTCCGCTCACTATTTAGCGTTCATGTCGCCGTGGCCGAATTCGATCTTGCATTCAAGGCTCTGGACTCATATCTCGAAATCATCAGCAAAGGGAAAGCCCGAATCGCCAAAACTAGCATTCCTGAGCCCAGCTTAGATAACGACTCCACTGTCTTGGAAACCATGGCCCAGGCCATCATGACCCTTTGCCGCTACGGCCACCACAAGTCAGCAGAAAAGGCGCGTCGCCTTGGTGCTGAGCTCGAAGACTGGCTTGCCAGACTATCCCACAACAAACCCGGTACCGAATCCAGCAGCTTCGTCCCGCCCCGAGTCATTGCGCTCTCCTGGCAGGCTATTGGTTTGTCCCACGCCCATTGGTCTCGCTCAACGTACGAAGCAGCGTCCCGGACTGAGATCCAGTCAAAGGCTATTCGCTGCCTACGGAAGTCTCTTTCGTCCGAATACGGCAGATCAAAGGATACCCGCAGCCTTTTTGCCCTTGGTCTACTCCTCGCTGAACGCAAAGAACTCTCTTCTGCCGTCGAAATTATTCGAGCCACTCTCATGTCCACTAAGCGTGATGAAAATAGTGTAAATGAAGAGCTATACAGTGGTCCTTATTGGCAAGAGAGATCCCTTATTCCCATGTGGCATCTCCTGGCTCTGTTGCTGAGCGCTCGCCAGGACTATGCCATGGCCAGCAGAGCCTGCGACGGCGCCGTCGAACAATTCAAAGATTCTTCCATTCTCTTTGGAAAGGCGGAAAGCTTCAAGAGCGAGCACCTGAACGATGCGGAAGCGAAGAGCATCTCAACAGAGGCACAAGGTGGACTAGTGGATGAGATGGACGATTTCGAAAAGGAGGAGCTTCTCGAAGTCAAGATGACACAATTGGCTCTCATCGAACTTCAGGACGGGCCCAACGCTGCAGTCAATTCCAGCTACGAACTTCTCTCGCTATTTACCCGTCTATTTGGAAACCTTTCTACCCAGTCAGCTGCCCCGCCACAGTCTAACGCGGACTCCAAGACGGCGTCGGGGCGCAGCAGTTTGCGCGGCAGCATATTCGCTTCCAAGGAGAAACCACGGGCGGTATCAAGGCAATCCGATGAGGTTGGTGACAGGGGAACCGCACTTCCCATCAGGCCGCCTACCTCTGCCCCCTCCATCCAGGTCACAGATGAGACGCCGCGACCACCGACATCTCAGCGTGCTGGAGACGCTCCACGACGCAACAGTCTTAAGAAGAGAAATCGAAGTCAGAGCAGAGGCCAGACATCGTCCAACGGCACTCTGTGTCACCAAGGCAGCCACATTGACGGCGAACCTTTCTTCACACCCAGCTTAGACGGCAGTCAACCTGGAACACCGAAAGGCCCACCAGTTGCCATGTCCACCTCGTTTCTCTCGCGGGAAAAGACAGTTTCTTCAATCACCTCGCGCGGCTCAATCATGTCAAAAGGCACGGAGTATTCCGAACTGTCGCTAGAAATGACGCATGTGCCATCGCATGTGCTGCCGCTGGTGCAATTCTCCAATGAAAAGGCGAGATCCGGACGCACGGCCATCTTGGTCAAGGTTTGGACCATGATTGCCGGCTTCTATCGCCGCGCGGACATGCTGGACGAGTGCAAGGCTGCCATTTCAGAGGCAGAGAAACTTGTGCAGGGCTTAGAGACGGAGGCGGCGAGGGATCCTTCGGCCGATGGAGCCACAAGGTCGACCGTCTGGGCCGAGAGGAAGAGCGTCGAGGGTCTCTGGGCCGATGTTTCCTCGGAGGTATGTCAAATGATGTATATTCTTTCTGCCCCAATTACTAATCTTGATAGTCTGGACTGCTCGCCCTCGCCAAGGGCACGCCATTTGAGGCCCGGGAAGAATTCGAGACGGCACTGACGCATTGTCCCGACCACCCCGCCGCCACTGTTGGCCTATCGAACATTCTTCTCGACATCTACAGCGAGACGCTGCTTCCCCAACCTGCCATCCCAGCGCTAGTCAACGGCGAGGTGGCCTCAGACCCAGCCAGCGTTGCGCTCCATGAGCACGCCCGCAAAGCCGCCCTCGCCGCCGCAGGCATCCTACCGTCAGTCGCGCTCGGTCTAGGTCCGTCAGTCGTTGTCGACGACGAGCCGACCGCGGCCTTGTACCGCACCGGGGCCAGCAGCCCCAGCGACGACGGTCTCCCTGCGCCCTACAAGACGACCAGCTTACCGCTGTCGGACCGCCTGGCGGCACGCGACCGTGCGTACACACTGCTCACGGGGCTGACGCGTCTGGGCTCGGCGTGGGACTCGGCGGAGGCATGGTTCGCGCTTGCCAGGGCGTACGAAGAGAGTGGCCAGCCCGACAAGGCCAAGGAGGTGCTCTGGTGGTGCGTAGAACTGGAAGAGTCGAGCGGCGTGCGAAGCTGGCGCAGTGTTGCGGCCGATGGCTACATTGTTTGAGTGGTCTCTATGCTGTCTGGTATCGTCGCTCATTTGCCCGCTCATTCTTTCCCCTTTTTCTATTATTTCTCTATCTCGTTGGCAAAAATCATCTGCGTTGCGTATCCGGGGTCGCCTGGCCCCCGTCGCTAAGCAAAATACAAGATACCTCTGCCGAATTGGACACGAGTTCTGACCTTTCTGATCCTGTACATTTCTCCGGTCTCCCGCAGTCACGATAGAATCAAAACTAGTAGTGATTTTAGCAGTAGTAGTAATATAAATTATCTAGACTATTCCCGGTCAAGTCTTTTGTCGTGAGTCCCAATGTGTATCTTTGACAAGGAAGAGATGTAAAAAAGGCTGGAGGAGGAAGATGAAGTAATCCCCTCTCAAAAAACTTGCTAACAAACTCCAGTGACTGTTCGTAAGGCTGCATGCGATGGCCTCGATGACGCTACCAAATGATGGCAGGAGTGTCGATAGAAGTCGGGAGAACTACATGGAATGGCCAAGTTGCGTGATTGCTTATTTAAAAGTTTGCTTGTTTGAAAGTTTGCTTGTTTGAAAGCTTGCTTGCCTGTATGATGCGTCCATGTGCCCCTGCGTGCTGTATCCTGGCAAAGTCCTCTTCGAAGTACCGAGTGGCTGGATGTACTGTACGCATGTAAGTCAACCCCTGAGCGTCACTAGTCCGAAAATCCACCAATGAACTAGTTTTTCGAAAACGCTAAAGAGCAAGTTAAAATTATGTATGCAACTATTGGTGATGGCTTCACTTGTGATGGCTTCTCTGATGGTTTCTGCGATGGCTTCACTTGCATGCAACCAACAAGGCACTTTGTCTACAGCACGCTCTACGCTTCTACAAAGACACAAGTCACAGTCAAGTAGAAGTGGTATTTTGGGGGTTTAACCTTTTTTTTATTTTTTCTATGCTGAATACACAGCTATTTTACACAACCAAAACCAAAAGTCCAATCTCATAATAATACAATTCAAATACAACCATCCAGCAAAAACAAATAGACCATACCGAGCACCGGTTACCAAACCGAGCACCGGTTACCGATCTCGCAGTCCCTACTTCGGGACAGGAAACTGAAGAAGCTGCTCATCCCAACGGCTGTACACCTCTTCCTGGTCAGGGTCCATCTCCGCCATCGCCGCCTCCAGAGCCGCAGCGAGGTTCGCGTCGGCAATGGACTCCATTATGAGGACATCACCCTGCTGCTCCTCACTGCGGGTAGGCGAGCCAGGAGTGGCCATCGATGCCATGTCCTCGGGGGGAGGGGGGGTGAACAAGGGACTACCCATAATAGGCTGGGCAGCCTCGGTAAGAGGAGTGGCCATAGCTGCCACGTCCCCGGTAGGGGTGGGGGGGAAAGTAGTTAAGGGACTACCTATGTCCATAGGTACGGCGTCCTCGGTAGGGGTAGGAGGCTCGGAGAACAAGGGACTGCCCATATCAAGCTGGGCAGCCTCAGCCAGGGGAGTGGCTGTAGTCGCCACAGAGGCAGTGGCGAGAAGATCAAAAAAGGCAGGGGCGAGAGGATCAAAGAAGGCAGGGGCAGGAGGGGGAGTGACATCGGGCTCGGGCGAGGCAACGATGATTAGCCTGGCTCCCGAATCGCCAGCAGCTTCAGCAGTAGCAGCGGCCTCGGCAGCGGCAGCAGCCTGAGGCTCCTCCTCCGCCGCGGCCTCTGCCTCCGCCGCCCTCTTCTCCTTGTTTGCCTTCCGCTGATCTGCATCCCTCCTCCGGGCCATCTCACTCACTAGCCCGGAACCCAGCAAGTCAAAATTCTGCCTCAGGTACTCGTAAGCCCTGTCCATCTGCTGCCTCGCGTGCTCCGACGGGGGGCCTTCCAGCAACGGCCGGAAGTGCGCCAGCACCATTTCGTGGCGGTGTGTAGACAGCGCGACCAGCTCCTCGCGCAGGCCCTGTAGGACGGGAATGGGGCGAGATCCACGCTTCTGGGCGGCGAAACGGTCCCGATCCGCCTGGGTGTAGGCCCAGGGGACAAGGTTCCCGCCAACAACAGGCGCACCAATCGCGGCAGGGGCGCGGACGGCCGGGACGGGGGACGGCGCAGGGCCAGCAGCAAAAGCCATGCTTTCCTGGGACGGCGAGGTCCATGGCTGGTTAGGGTTGAATCCAGGCAGCTGCTGGCTTCCCATGGCGCCATAGGGCTGGCCAGTGGGGAAGCCCTGGCCCTGGCCAAAGGCAAAGCCCTGGCTTCCCATGGCGCCGAGGCCGTTGCAATAGGGCTGGCCACTGGGAAAGCCCTGGCCCTGGATAATGGGAAAGCCGGGCTGCTGGAAGCCTTGCTGGTGGCTTCCCATAAAGTTCTGTGGGCCGGCCCAGTCCTGGCCGGCGGCAAACAAGGGCTGAGCAGTGAGGAAGCTCTGCCATGGCCTCATCAGGTTGCTCTGGTCGGCCGGGTAGAAGGGGCCGGATGGGACCGGGGCGAAGGAGGCCAGGTCGAAGGAGGCATCAAAGTTGGAGTCCGGCTGGACTCCTCCCATGGCAGTGCCGGTCATGGGGATGGCATCAGCCATGGTCAAATCAGCTTCAGGACTGAAGCGTTGATCGGCGTTCAATTGGCCATCCATTGCAACTATGGTTACTACTGTCAGTGTTGTAAATGAATTGATTGTGTGAGTGTTACTGACGGTGATTATAATGATAATCAAGATTGTTATGATTGTTGGGATAGTTGAGTTTACCGGGATAGTCAAGATATCCGGGATAATTGAAATAGTTGAAAGTGAGAGAGTGTGTGAAGCGAGTGTGTGTATGTGAAGCGAGTGTGTGTGTGTAGAGCGAGTGTGTGTGTATGAAGCGAGTAGACTATTGGGAGCTGTGAAGCTATCAAGAGTCTGGAAGAGCGAACGAAAGTATGGGAGGCAGGGAGGGAAAAGTGAAGGCATCGGGAGAAGCATGCCACTTTATACCTTGTTCAAAGAGGCTCTGTTTCCTCCTACTTATTGCTAAATATAAGCTCTCTTTTTGGCTTTTTGACACTGCCACGGCCCGGCCTGCGACTTTATGGTTTACAAAGTATATAACAGCACGTAGGCAACAGAATATGGAAGAAAAGGAACTCGCCCCCAAGTCCCTGCGGTCGGAATTGCCTTCGTTAATCACCCCGCCGCCGATCGACCGAAGAAGACGAAAATCCGGGGAAAATTGGCACAGCACCCGGCTGCGCGGCCAAATCGCCAGCCAAAGCTCGTCACTTTCCAGGAAATTGAAGCCCTGGCTGGAGGCTCATTGCCAGACATTCGAACGTATTCTGTACGGAAACTGTACAAGGGCTGTGCTGCAAAAGGGAAAGTCTGTATATACGCTACAGGACAGTGGCCACGAGGAATGATGCGTCAAGACTTTTCATCTACTCTTGTTTTTAGGAACCCCCGGAGTAAGTAGACTCTCCCGGTCTCGGTCAGTCTTGTATCTATACGCTACGAAATCACCGTGAGAGTACAAAGCGGACGCCGTAAATTAAGGTTAAACCATTACCAAGTTGTCGGGTCAAGCCTCCTCGGAGTGTCCTCGGAGTGTGAGCGTGGCCTCGGAAGATGGCAGGTCTCGAAGCACTTCACCACGCGAATAAAGTTTTCAAATAGATGATGTGGTCATACATTCAGACTTGTTGCTAGTCACGGACCAGGGAGGCAGGCATCTTTCCGGCCAGGCTGGTCTTTGCGAAGAAAAAGAAAAATGGCTGTGGAAGGAGAGAAGGAGGGACGAAAGGAAGGCAGGGTCGTGGATGCTGTACAAGACTCTGGGGCGAAAAAGAGTAGTTTGAATTTGTGGTACGGCAGCGAGTTGATTCTAATGAAAAGAAATGCTTTCCCATCTTTCCAGCCTCTCAAATCTGTCGCCCACTTCTCTCCTCTCTTTGCCTGTTCGCCAAGGCATGTCGTCAAAAGTGGGGCACCCAAATGGATTAGCAAGTCCCTTTACCAGACCCTCGGGTTCCATCCAGCCTTATGAAGGGGGGTGTAGTTGTGCAAGTAAGTCTATGCAACATTAAATCAACATCAATTCCATCCCACCAAAGCCCATCCGCGAAGCAATACGGACTCACTTGGCTCCGGAACTGATGGTATCCGATCACCAAAGGAGACTCTCGGATGCCTGGCGCTGACTCGGATGCCTGCCACTGAATAATTTCTCTAATTCCTCCTTTTCAGCAGCGAGTAGCGTCGGTTGCTCCCGCACCAACAGGGTCTAGAGTGGGTGGTGGGGCATCTTCTTTGAAAATCCAGTTCATCTTTTGACAGCGCGCACACACAAAAACACCTATTGACAATACTCGATGTTATCCTTGCTCTTCTTATCCTCTTCATCCCCCCTGTTTTTTTATATCCCCCTTGTCTTTTTAACCCTCCCTGTCTTTTTGATCCTCCCTATCTTCTTTATCCTCTCTGTATTTTTTATCCTCTCTGTTTTATTAATCCTCACTATTTCCTCTATCCTCCCTATATTTTTTTATCCTCTCTGTTTTTTAATCCTCACTATTTCCTCTATCCTCCCTGTATTTTTTTATCCTCTCTATATTATATTCTTCATCTTTTCCACTTCCTTACTCAGCTATCTAGGTAACAATCTCTACAACTGCATACACGGTAGGTTTGGGAGAATTCAGCATCAACAGGTCCGCTTGGATATTATTTTTCATGTCTTTGAATTGGTCTATGTTCATCTTTAGTCCTTTTCCACAACTCCAATGATTATGTCTCATGTAACAGTAAAAATATCTTCCATCCCCAGATAATATCCAGCCTTCGCATGCCAAAATTTTCCCTCTTCCAATGTCAATATGTTTTAGCCTCTGTTAGGTATAATGGCCGTCTTGCATTCGTCTCGTGAACCCTTCTAAACTCGTAGGCTGCACCGGTCATTGGCGGCTCTTGAGTAGGCCCTGCAGGTATGAAGGAAATTGCTTCTTGTCGGTCGACGTAGTAAGCGACCGCAGGAATTCGTCGCCATTGATGCCCAACGTCGGAAACACTCCATTCTGTAGGTTCTGGATGAAAGCGTCGCCCGTCTTAGTGTAGATGAGCTGCTCTAGACTAGCAATTTCCACTAGAATCTGCTTTGTCTGTGCGTCCTGTCCGGGCCGGAAGTTGGGATTGCGCAGTACCTCCCAGCATGCAGTGTGGAAACGATCAAGCATGAACTGGTCAAAACCAGGGATCACCGGATTTGCCGATCCTGATGGTGCAGTGGGGTTCTGAGAGATGGTAGCGACATCAGGGCCACCCCAGACGGAGGAGATGCGCAGTAGGATGGTAAACGCGAGCCTGGAAGGTCCCAAGTTGCCGTCGAACGTCTTTCCCAGCTCAATCACAGAGGAAATAAGCGACTCAAAATAGCCTTGGTTGGCTTCGCTAATCAAAACGCCCTCAAGTCCGTTGTTCAGAATAATCTGAATAAACGAAAGGTATTCGCGTCGAAGCTCTGCAAGCTGAATCTCGTCATCTGTTCCGTGAATTGGCTCCGTCAGTCCCGCAAAGATTCTCTGCAAGAGGGGGGTCAGCAAGACGTTCAGCACATCGTAAATTTCGGCCTTGAAGCCAAATACAACTTGGTCAAGCAGACGTAAGAACATGGCCATCTCGTCTTTGGACGAACTTTGCGACAGCAATCCATCAATCCACTGGGGAAGTTGAGGGAGTACAGCAGCGCCCAAAACACCAAGCAGTTTAGAGAATGCAGAACGGCAGGCTGTTCTAATCTCGCTGGATGAGTTGAGTTGACTGAGTGCAATGAGAATAGCCTCGGCGGCCCGCGAGAATTCAGCCGCAACCAATTTGTCTGGCGGCGTGTGTTCCTTGCTCGTAGACCCTGGCGTCCAGTCAGAGAAGCCGTGTGCTAACGTGCCTAGTGCCATTACGATGTGGTGGATTTGAAGGTTGGCCTGGGCATCACCAGACTTGGCACGGGGTAGGTGCACTTCCATGTCCTGGAAAAGGGGCTCCATCACTGATCGAACGTAGAGTGCTTGTTTCTCGATGGGGGTGCTGGAAGTAGATGAAATACATCCAATCGCCTCAAAGAGGTACAATTGACTGTTAAAGAGAGCATTGGCGGAGTGGTCAGATTCGTCCGACGACATGTCATCGTCTGCGTCTTCGCCTGGAACCTCGGCCTTGATCGGAAGCAGGTCGCCAATAGACTGGATAACAGTTTCGGCGACGTTTCCAACCCGTCCCCGAAGCTGCTTGATAAATCGGTGGAAGAGATACCACGAGCGAGTCTTGAGCCGTACATGTTCGTGATGCACCAGCCGAACAAAGTTTTCCAGTACTTGTGGGATGTACTGTGTGTTTGTATCAAAGACAGCGCTGTAGCGCACGCAAATCTCCATGTACTGAAGCAAAATGGCGGGATGCGAGAAGTTGGCAATACCTGTGGTTATTAGTATAGAATTCTAGTGTTTGGCGACAAAAACGTACCAGACTCAACCATTTTAGAGACCATGACGACCAAACGCTCAGAAGCCTCGCTAGAGGGCTGATTCTTGGTACCAGGACCATGGTTGGGCAATGCGAGTTCTCCAAAGAGGTACATCTCGTGCAGGGCCAGGTCCAAATCTCTCCAGTCCATATCCGATCCTCTTTGATCCAGGGTCTGAAAGGTCGTGGCGACCAGGTTGCTGAGCATGTCCATGTAGAGAGGCTGGTTGATGGCGGCGATGGTCTTCTGCAAGTTCTGAAGCTTCTTTCGGAGCTCCTGAAACTCAGCCTCGTCTGTTTGCTCGTCCTCATTTCCCCAGGACGACGTCTCATCATATCGCATTTTACGAATAATGGCATCGAGGATGGGGGCAAGCATGGTGTTGTACTCGTCGGGAAGCTGTCCTAGCTTGCGGAGAAAGGTGAGGAGGTCCGTAAGCGCCGGGATAACAGTAGAGCAGACTTCGTCGTATTCGTCAGAGAAGAAGCGAAGGAGCAGTGGGAGGAAGTCGTTGAGATGCTGCTTGGCGCGAGTTCGGGTATCGTTGGTAACCTGCCCATCGTCGAGTGCTCTGACGATGTCGGAGACTACACTGTTGACCAGCTTGGCAACGACTTCGGCGAGGTCCGTGTCGTATTGGGGAGTTCCACGGTATTCACATAAGAGAGGCATGGAAACCAGCTGGTTGACAATGCTCTGGAGGCCGAGGAAGGAAATCATCTCCATCTTGTCGGCAGAACGCATCTTCTTGCCGCATATCTCGGTAAGGGTCTCGATGGCGATGTCGCGGATCTTGTCGCTTCGGCCTTCATTCTTGTTCCGCCCGACGACAGGGAGGATGAGGCTAAGCATGTCTTGGCTTATGATGAGGGAAATATCCATCCAGCTAGCCCACTTGCCTATGACTCTGAGGACCATTTCGACGACGGCATCATGGTCATTGTAGCGAGCGAGGAGCTGCTTCCAAGAATCGGCGACACGATGCATATCCTGTGCTCTCAGCTGGTCTTTGAGCTCCGTGTTACGCTTGGATTCGTTGCTCTGGCGAGACAGGAGCATATCGGCAATTTCGTCGTGGATCGAGGACAAGATGCGAAGATAGAAGAGAGTGCCGCTAACACTGTTGACGTTGTTGGCGATGCCGGTGAGGGCGAGAAAGTCTTCGAGGAACGATTGCCATCCGCTCTGGTATAGGAAAACGAACAAGTACGTCAACGTCTGTGCGAGCTTGTTCTGGATGTGAGGCTGGTCGGGATCGTTCTGAGCATCGGGGCCGTACGTCCGGCGAACATATTCGAGCAATGTCTGCTTAAGGTAGCTCAGGCTGTCGGGGTCAAGGCCGTGGTTGTAGACGGCGTAGTTGATAATTTCAAGACACGTCATGCGGGCAAGTTCGGAGGCCCGGGGCGATGTCCGGACATAGAGGTTGGTGCAGGCCTGCCATGCTTGCGGGTCAAATCGCAGCTGGCCGAGGTATTCGAGGGCCTGCCCTTGAAGAGACTGGTCGGATCTGGGGTTCGACAGGATATCGACCACATTTTCGATCTGCGTGGCAGCGACGAGTTAGCTTGCTGCAGCTTGGGAAAAGGTCCCCTGCGTGCATTGTGACGGGCGCCCGCGGCAATGACGCATCAGAAGCAGGGCAGAATGGCGGGGCACGAGGGGAAAGGTGTTTTTTTTCTCGTACCTGACCCTCCATGGCTTGGAGAAAAAGAGGAGAGGGGATAAAAGGAATGTCGTGCGCAATTCAGACTTGGTGTTTACTTGTCGTGCTCTGATTTGGTTTTGATAATGACCGGTGTGAAACTTTTGGCGGAGGGCTGCTACAACTCTGGCAGCGTTGGGCGTACAGCAGGCAGCATGGTAGTCGGAATGGCGGGCGGGTTTCGAAATTTGGGGAGGGGGACGACTACCGCGGATGCATGCCTGGGGAGACGGGAGACGGGCGATGTAGGGCGTCTTGCCGGGCAGAGGCAATAGTTTCGAAGTTGTACTACGACGGAGCGGATGTGAGTATAGCCGTTCGGGAGGATGGGGTGGCCGTTTCGATTGGAAATTCCGTCTATTTGGCGATGCGAGAGCGTTGTGCGTCCATTTCCCAAAAGTCGGTGCAGTCTCGTGCCAATGTGGGGGTAGAGGTTGGAGTGTGGCTGGTTCTGTGGCTTTAGCTGTCGGAGCTGTGGCGAGTGCAGTGACTGGCTGCTAGTACTGTGCCTACACTGTCTAGCACTGTTTCAAGCTCGTTGGATGCAGTTGCGATTCGGGTATAAATAATTAAGTCATGATGACTACCTGTATAATCACTTTCTAATAATGTTGGCCTACTCTCTTCTGGGGAAATTCTGCCTGGCGCAACAGCTGAAGATTTCATCATGTCCCTTGGAGCTTGCCCAGGACATCCAAGAAGAAACATGTTAATTCTCAGCAAACCTAAGCACGGCCCCCAACACATCACCATCGCATTAATGAAGAAAAAAACAATGGCGGGAAAGAAAAAACAAACAAAGGAAAGCTATGCCATCAGGAAATCTCACCCAAAGCAGGTTCTCGAGCACTGAAGAGGCACCGAAGCTTAACCCAGTTCATCATGGTCAACTACAGGGTAGCCCTCATCCCTCACGGTAGCATGAGCCATGTACATAGGTCGACCACACATATGTAGCAAGCATTCCACGACATCACCCCTTCAAAACAAAGGTCGCCGAAGTCTACACAGACAATGCCCCGAATTCCCGTACCCGAGAATATCACAGTCGCCACTATGCAATACAAAGGTGCAGAATATAGGCACACAGTTACGCGATCTAGGACTTGTCACTGAAATACGATACATAGTAAGGCACAGACCCCAAGATCTACTCGATGGTATCGAATTCGGGTGCTACGAGGTAAATGCTGTAAGACGCAACGATAAATGGGAAAACAGTGACACGTGCTACAGAAGAACGCCGACAAACAATGACGTGACACGTGGAAGCGTCACGACCCAGTCACACGGACAAGATAGAGGCCATGGATGGCTCGGTGACTGGCATCTATACCGAAATATTGCATCGACCGGTTGAGTGGTACCACCCGGCGGCCGGCGTGGGGTCGGGTGCAGCCCCGTGCAGGCCAAGAACAATAGCGTATTCCACGTGTCTGCTCGAAAAATGTCTTGGATAATATAATGGAATCGCGTCTTCGCCCCCGTCGTGTCAATGGCTGAAACGTCGTCTGGAATGTGACGTGCGGCCCGCGGGGCTGAAGGGTCCATCGAGCTGGCTCGTTTCGCTTCGTTTCGTGTCCCGAGGCCACCGCATCGGAAACCAAGCGGATTCGGACGTCGAAACTCTGGGCGCTATTCGTTCCTGCCACGAAATGATCGGAACGGTCGCCGCGCCGCGCGAGTCTCGTTGTTGGTTCGTGCCAGACAACGGCGCGCGCTACAATGCACCGGAGAGCTGTGTAGGTATGGAACCCCCGGCGAGTTGGATCACACACACCAGCAAGAAAACTCCGAAAAGTGGCCAAGAAGACGAGGGGAAGTGTGCTGGAATGGTTAACATGACGGTGGAAGAGAAACACCCAAGTACGATGAGCAAGGGCTGGACGGAGCTGAGTTCCAGATGCAACGAAAGCGAGGTCGAAAATTCCCAATGGCCAATGTGACACCATAGCGGAAACAAGCTTTCTCGGAACCTTCAACCGAACGAGGCCAATTCATCACAATAACACGAACAAGGGAGAAGTCTCGGGAAAACGAGGTGTGTTGGCGACACGAGGTTTGTAATCCGGCTCACCGCACGGGTCCCATCTCGCTGCCGGCTCTCCCCTAGCTATTGCGGAGACAGGGGGCGAGATGATGCGGTGAAGCTGGAGATGCTCAGTCTGGAGCAAGAGCGCAGCGATCCGAAAGCACTGGTGAAGGGACTCTGTGGTATTTAAAACACAGCACCGAACACCTTCAGATCGCCTTTTTCTCGTAACTACCCGTATTTTGACCATATCAGCCGACCCCTGCACTCCGGTCGAATCCTTGCTTGTGGAACCTGTCCACACTTTCTGGTGAGAGAAAAGCTTGTCCAAACGAACAGGCGAAGGAATCGTCGATGGGTGAATAAGGTGTTTGGGGGGCCGATGGGGGGGCGCACAATTGGTGGCACTGGGCAAGGCCAAGTTGTTGGCCGATGGGAATCAATTACGGAGACAGCGAACACAAATCCTTTTTTGCATGGTGTATTTCCTTTCAATAGATCGGAAATCCGAATGCTTCGGTGAGTGGGAAGGGGCATGCCCAATAGTGACCTAAGCGCCCAACACTTCCCCTATTACCGTACATGCGAGGATTTGGAGAGGAGGCAAATTTGCAATTTAAAAAAGAGAACTTTTACGCGACCAGAACGCGATCAATAAAGCGTGTCGCTGACAGTTGCCACGGCACCTGAGATGCCTTGTGGAGGTCCGACTTTCTGCAGCGCCCGCAGTTAGGTCAGGCGCCAATCTCGGGGATTCTTCTTTTCAAGCTAATCTCAGCTGTACGAAAGCCCTTTTTGGCGAAAAGAAGAGAGCTTTGAAGGAGTTGGGCGTGGCGGGTACGACTGGCTGGAGCGGTGTCCCGAAATTGGGACGTTGTGGTTGTTGTCTCGGTTGCCCAATGGCGACCGTCGCTCCTCGCCGCCCGTCACCTTTCAACTAATAAGTAATTATTATCGGTTTGCAATGGCAGCCGGAGAGGCTAGCTGAGTCGGGGTTGTGCTGCAGACCAACTCACAAAAGGAAGGCCCTTATTTTCGCTCGTGGTCGTGGCGGCGGCAAAAGCCCAGTGGCTTCGTCGTTTCTATTGGGTCACCAAAAAGTCGCTGCAGAGAGAGTAATAATCCTGGTGCAACAACAGCAGCAGGGCCAGGGTTTGGAAGCCACACACCCCTCCATCCTGCAGGACCTTGCGCAGTCTGGACCGCCTCGTGGAGCAGTAATCTGGTGAGTTGAGAAGCGGAGGAAATGCAGCTGGGGCAGATGAATGACATCGCGATCATCTTCTATCCTCGTCTTCTTTGATTTGTAGATGGGAACACGCAAGGACATAAAGGGGGGAGCGTTTACACAATCCAGAGGCTGTGCTCCTGGAGCTCCTCAGCTTTGTGGCTTACTGGGCACTGTATCTGAGCGGCTTACAGATATACTCCGTACGGATATTTTGTCCCTTAAGAACACTCAAGAAAAATGGCTTCAACAGCCCTGCTTGGCTCCTCCCACCGACCGAGATCCACAGGAAGACCCCGGACAGCCTTGGGCGTCGTCCAATGTGTCTGCTGCAGAGCCAAGTGGTTTGTGTGGTGGCTGAGCCGAAGAGCGGAAGGAATAAACCTAATAAAAAAGCCTGTTTCTTGCTCTGGAGGGCTGCTTCTGGTTGTCATTGGTGCAAGTAACAAAAAGCAATAGTGTGTGCCGCTAGACCAACGCGCCGACGTTTCGTGTTGAGAAAAAAAGATCTTGTTCCTGCATTAGCGGGAATGAGGACCCGGACCAGTCATGGTTGGACACGGCGTTCGGTCTGCTTTTTTGTCATCACCCCCTTTTCTTCCCCCGCTTGAGAGCCGGCCTGTCAGAGTGAGATGCGCGAGCGCCCGTGACAGAGGAGGGGATCAGAGGAAATACTGTACGAATCGGTCTGTTATTTATTAGGGAAGATGATCAACTGAATGACAGCCTTGATAGGGCATGGCATGTAATAAGCCCCAGCGCTTACAGACAGGCCTTGAACTGTCGGCAGCCGCAGTGGCGTCCACCTGGCAAATATCTCTCTCTTGCCTGTGCTACGGATCCTGAACTGACGCTCAGACTAAGGCCTTTTGGTGCTTCATCACACTCATTCTGCGTCACAGACGCAAGGCGGCACGGCTTTGTGGTTGGCGGTCCTTGTCGGGGGCCTGTCAGCCCAGTCTCAGATAGCGGCACAACCAATGTCTTATCCCATGTCCAGGCAAGTTGTAAAGTGAGGCATGGAAAGCAGAAATTGTGACATTTTGTGAAGATGCCAACATTTAAGGAAAATGGGTTTTGGTTTTGGCATGCACAAAGTAGCTATGGCATGCGTCTTGTTCTTGGAATACAGCCGTTGATGTTTTCAAGAATCCCCGAGAGCGTACAAAAACATGACCAGTCAGAATCATCACATGACGGTTGCAAAGGAGACGAGTCAAGTACATGCCACCAACCGCAGCGTAGTGCCAACTGGCTGGCTATCTGAGGCAAGCGCTGTGACGGCACGGGCTCGAGTAGACGTTTTGTGCGGCAACGGTTTTGTCTGTTGACGAGGGCGTCTCGGGCAGAAATGGCGGTAAGACGTCGAGTTGAATCAACCGGAGCGTCGCTTAGCCCAGAATAGATGAGCATGATGCATATTAATGAACTGGTAATCTAGGTAGAGAGCGGTTCCCTGCTATATTTAGCACCGGATTATGCTGCGCGGGCAAGGAGATTACAGGGCAAAAGGGCACGGGCAGATTTGAACTGGGTACACAAAAACCAACAGGCATGAATGATCTAACAATAGGAGATTTATTCATTTTCATTAATCCGCGCGCGGTGGTTTCCATGCTAGATTAAGTTGCGATGGGCAGGGACGGGAACTGGACAGGCTGGAAATAGTGAAGTGTGGTGGCAGTGCTGGCTGTTTTCTGGGGCGCAAACGATGGCCTTGGTGAGCAGGATTATCATTCGTCATTCGTGCAGATCCTACGAATGCTTGCGCAACGCGTCCTCGGAGGTACAAAGACGATGGCAATGCAGGGGGAGCTGGGATCAGTTGGTTGCGTGCACATACTGTACTGATAGGGACGTGGTTGGGTTGAGATCAATATCCGGATATGGTATTGATCGGAGGAATGATTGGGCGGAAGAGAGCAAGTAAGAACCGCGGTGTGGCAATTCATTATGACCAAGCTTGATAATAATACGAAGTGCTCCGTAATTACTGCGATAAAAGTGAGCTTGCGATGTTGGTAAACAGGAGAACCGATGTAATTGCTGCACTGGACTGGCAGGCGTCAATTGCAGCTGGCAGCCACCTAGAAATGAGTATCCACAGGTGACTTGCCCCCTAAAATCCCCCTAAGTGCCCCCTACACGAACCGCTGAGCATGCCCAGGTTGGGCACTGCAGCGGCCCAGGTCCAGTGGAAAGGCGCGTGCAGAAGCGGGCCTTCCCCTGGACTAGCGCACCCCATTTGTTCTCCTCAGTCCTCCACCCTCTCGAATGAAGCTCCATCTTCCCCCATGTCAATGGCTTTCCCCCCATGCCAGCTCTGCTCCTCACACCCATAACCTCTCACCTCTTCGCTCTCGATGTCTACCGACGACCGGTGTAATTTCCCACGATGGAGCTTCAGGGGGTGTATCTATCACCATTCTCATCACATTGTTCTGACCTGGCCTTGCTAACGAGATGAGTGGCGCCAGACTCACAGACCGAATCCACGTACCGCACATCTCGCCGCAAACACGATGAAGAATGGAAAAAAGAAGAGAAGACGAGCGGCACACACGCCCCCCCCCCTCTTCGACGAAGAAGCTTGGCTATTAATACCGCTTCCCTCCTCGCCATCCATCTTTCGCTCCTCTTCTTTTCTTTCTTCCTCAGCCAAAACAGCCCATTCACAAACCTAAGCAGTACGCTTTTGACTCGCTTGACTTCGGTCGTCCATTCTTTCAAAACTTCCAAAGCTTCGCTTTAGTCACTCTTTCACCACCTTCCATTCACCCACCCCAAACAAATCAATCAAGATGCGTTTCGCTGCTGCCGCCGCCGTTCTGGCCACCTCGGTCCTCGCCAACAAGGAGGTCGTTGTTGAGCCCACCAGCACCGCCTTCATCACCGAGCACGTCACCGTCACCCAGTGCCCCGAGACCGTCACTGACTGCCCGGCCCGCTCCAAGACCACCTCGGTCATCACCAACACTGTGCCCATGACCACCAGCACCGTCTACAGCACCAAGGTCCACACCATCACCAGCTGCGCCGCCACCGTCACCAACTGCCCTGCCCACAGCACCGTCGTCAGCACCGAGACCATCTCCGTCTCCACCACCGTCTGCCCTGTCGGCCCTGCCACCCAGACCCCCGGTGTCTGGAGCAACTCGACTGTCCCGGCCGGCGGCAAGCCTACCGGCGGCAAGCCCACCACCCTCCCCGGTGGTGAGCAGCCTACCGGTGCTCCCCAGCCTCCCAAGTCTGTCAGCACCCAGGCTCCCGCTTGCCCTACCCACTCCGTCACTGCCATCACCAAGAGCTACACTACCGTTCTCACCTCGGTTGAGTACTCTACCATTGCTGTTCCCTGCCCTACCGAGGGTAAGCCCGTTGGCCCTACCGGTGTTAAGACCCCTGCTCCCCCCTCGGGCACTGGTGCTCCCCAGCCCCCTGCTGGTGGCAACAACACGTAAGTTCACTCTACTCGAGAGGTTTTATCTACACTGCTAACCGATATCCAGCTGCACTGGCCCCAACTGCCCTCCCAAGAACCCCGTCACCGCTGGTGCCGCTAGCCTTGCCGGCTCTGCCATCTTTGCCGCTGCTGCCGGTCTTGCTGCTTTCGTCCTTGCTTAAATAATTCCCTTCGACATAGTTGAAGCCTAACAAGGCCTCTGCGTTTTTACGACTGGCATATTTTTGGAGTCTCTCGGTTAGACATGTACAGAGGTTTAACTAGGCTCCCTTAATACTATAAAGCATTTACGGCAATATCTGGTTGTTTTTGGTCTTCTTTTCGAGTGGTTCTACATTTTGGCGCTGGGCTACAAATGTATTTAATTCTTAATTGTATTTAGGGCGTTTCGAGGAAAGCGAGTCTTTCCTGGATTTGTTCACTCTCTGTTTCCAATTTTTTAACATTTCACTTCTTGGCCGTACCTCGATTGCAATGACGTGATATCCATTCCTCATTTGCAAGCCGGACAAAAAAAAGCAACTGAAACTTGTTGCAGACGAAAGCAAGGCTACGGAAGAAAGAAGGAAAAATGTCTCGCAGTAGAGACAATCACTGCAACATGCCAAAAAAAGACAAAAACATTGTTCGGGGGTACCCGATGAGCCGCCAGAGAGCAGCAGCAAATGAGACGTGGAGCCTCTGAACACGAGCCACGAGGGGGGGCGTGCCTTCCTCTACATTCTCACCTTCCCAGCCCAGTCGAGCTTCCGCGCTGGCTTCTGTGGGCTTGATGAGCTGATACGAACCTGGCAGCGAGCTTATTTTCTTCAACTGGAGAAAACTGGGGTTTCTCGCTCTTCATTTCGGAAATGGCACTGGAGGTTTCCCCGAACCTTTTCTCTTTGCCGCTGGTGTATCGCCTACTTTCCTTTTGTTGCCACCGGACACAATAACACCGTCCCCCATCCGAGACCGCATGCAAGCACCTTGCAGCTTGTCACCTGCAGCTTCGTCACCTCTTCTCCTTTTCTCTTGTCAGACGGGCGGCCGACCGAGAGTGCGAGCCGTTCCCCTCGCATTGAGCTTCCTTCCCCCGTTCCTGGTTCCTGACGCCTTTCCTCTTTGGGCGTTTCTGTGTAGCGGAGACGACGTGGAAATTGCACACGCCCCTCCTCTCTTCAGCGCGCGCGTCGGGGCTATTGGCCAATCATTCTTGGTTGAGACCCTGGCAGGAGATCGTCACGAGGGCCCTGGGGGGGTTTTGCACAAAGACACAAATGTGATGACGGATGATTGCATAACTAAAATGATGATCGACTTGGCCGTGAGCGAAAAATGACAGCCGTTGACGTCTGCGCGTAAGCTCTACCGCTCGTTATGACGGAGTAGAAAAACACATATTGGATTAGAATCGGCGCGTATACCTACGTACGCGCAATTGATTAAATTTATGCTCTTCATTAATTTCGTAGCGAGTAATGGCCTTGAAAGTGTTTATCCGGCAATTGCATGGCTATCCGTCATCTGTCACAAACCCCGCAATTTATGTACTATCCACTCGATCCTTTTTATGCATGTATGTCTAAAGTCAGCTATGCGCTCTTCGCATGACATAACCCAAAAGAAACATGATGAAGCAAATCCCTTACTTGACTCTGGGACACACAAAAAAAAAGCATCAACCCATCAGCCGAATAAGCAAAAATTTTGTTTCCTTTTTTCCACCCCGCCGATGAAACAGGGCGCGCAAATCTTCGATTCCCTACCCGTTCGCACGTCCGTCCGCAAGCTGTGAAACGCACCAACGCGGGGGATCCCTCCACGACCGAGCCACGGAAGGCCGGGGGCGTTTTTTTTTTTGCTTTGACATTTCTTATTCTTCCGCCGGGAGAAAACAGAACACATGTTTATGGATACCAGAACCTGTGATTATGGGTATCTCGGTAGTTGAGGATCCTCTTTTTTCGGCCAGCTGCGTTGTGACTCGTGTGACCTCGTGCTGGGGGCTGACAGGAAGCAAATAGTCAAGGACCTTGTTTGCAATAAATAAGAGCGGGATCTTCCGGGGTTCATATACCAGCCGGAAGCTCTGCACTGTCTATGTAGTTGTCTAGGTCCAAGCTTGTCGCGACGGCATCGCGCAGGAGATCCGTTACCCGCCCCGGCGCTCAAACACCCAAACGCATACATAGCTCTCGGCAGCGCTTGTCCCGTTGCCTGCCCAGACTTTTACTGCTCCGTCCATGCCGGCTGCAAGGCGACGATGGCTACTTGGTGTAGCGGAAGCGGACACCGGCCTGCCGGTCAACCCGCGCGCTGCTTGGGAGAGGTCAAACTCGAAGCCAAAAGCCGGTGCTGGTGTAAATGTTAAAAGTCGTGTGCGTTGGTTCTGCGAGGCAATAACTAAAAACCTGCTTTAGGTTTCCTCACCAGTTGTCACCTTGGCAACGTGGCGATGATTGCTCTGTACTGAGCCGGGTTCGCGTAGTCGAAGAGCAAATCTCCAGGCACCATTGTGTCGGTGTTGATGCGAAGGAGTTGCGGAAAACGGAAATGAAGATCTTAAAGAGGTTCGTTTATAGAAGGTTAAGCCTTTGGGCCATTGCAGCGCGCCAAGCCGGCGTGCCTTGAGGCTATTGCGGACGCGCTGCACTTGGTCGACGATTTAGATTGGCAAGATGGAGGAAAGAATGCCGATGCGCTCCTTTTTTCTTTTCTTTTCTTCTTCTTCTTCTTCTTCTTCTTCTTCTTCTTCTTCTTCTTCTTCTTCTTTTTTTTCCCCGCAACTTTCGGCCAGCTCTTAGCCTTGGTCCTTGTGTTGCTCTGTGTTGGCAAGGCGAAAGTGGTGTGAGGGCGAGTCGCCGCATCAGTTCGTGCAAGTAGAGCCAATCGGATCTGATAATAAAGGGAATCGAATTGGTGATACACTAAAGAGAGAAAACGTACGCGGGATCAAGCTACGCCGAAACTGACAGGAACTGTGTGCCACGCTCCCCTATGTTGGTAGACGGATGCCGTATACTTGATCCTTTCTCTGTTCACTCGATATATCGCAATGAATTTTCTTCTCTTCTTCATTCGCCATTTCTGGACCACCCATTTCCTTCCAGCGGTGACAAGGCATCGCGCAGACACATGTCCCTCCTTCAGCCGCTGAGCACAGCCTCCGCCCACGGTTACGTACACGCGTTACGGCGGCAGACATCGCCCTGATTCGACACGCAAGGGCCAAATCTCTCCGAAGCTGAGCCGGGTTTGATCAGAGATGCGAGGTGGTATGAGATGGCCATTGGGATGCTGGATCAGTGACTGGTTGTAGGTTATTCGCCGCTAAACTTGACTTTGACTAACCCGGCCCGGTAGGCCCCGACCGGTGAGACGTCATGCCGGCGCGCCAAGGTCAGACTCGGGTCTCGGACTCGGCCTGACAGTCTGACAGCCCTGTGGGGCGGAGCTGCGCCGGGCTTCATGCAGGGCGAATGTCATTCAAGGCGTTGAAGTTGATCGGCGTTGGCATTGCAACAATCCTCTACTATTATTGTATCTTTAAAATAAAGGGAAGATGATCTAAGATAGTTCAATGGAATGGGACTAACTATTTCTACAATCATTTCTCAGAAGCTTCGGAAGACTCGGACTGGAGAATCCTTCCGGGCCCGCTGTCGTCATGGACACAGCGGGGCCGTGTTATCTCCTTGCAGCTGAGCCGCCACAGAGCCTCACCCTCTGCTGCCTTCGCACTCGCTTAATTAATTAAACTTTTCGGCCCTTCCTCGCATAGAATTCGAATTGAGGGAACTGACGCCAACCATTGTCTATGAACAGACGCGCGTCCCTTCCCTTACGGACTGCTGTAGCGATCCATACGGGATCCTTGAGGCCTAAGCTGACAAGACAAAGTACACGGGCAGGTGATGGCGCAGCCTTGCTTCTTCTGAAACCCGAGTCTTCCATCACCTTTTTTAGCTCTTTCTGTCAGGACTCATCTCCACCGGGGCTGGAGACGGTGGCTTGACCAGAACAGCAGGCTTGGTGTGCGGCTCAACAGGCTGCTCCGTGCGCTAAATGCTTATTCCTTGGGCACAGGTGGAGGGCTAAAAAAAGATTCCATCAATATAGATGTCATTGATTCGATGATTAACATGAGGCTGCCACGCAAACCCATGTAACAGAGTCCGAAGGCGGTCGACTACGCACACCGATGGTAGGTAGACAGGTGATGCTCCCGTCGTGAGCGTGCATATATAGAGCAGTTTGCTTCTTTTTATAGCAAAAAATCAAATTCGTTCTTGTTCTCATTCACCTAAAAAGGCCCGACAAACATCAATACCCTACCCACTTCTTCAACTGCTTTGGCCCGCCAATCGTCCGACTTTCAGTCTCTCCGCCGCCTCGGAGCCGGACGCCGTTTCAAAGACCGGCCGTCCCAAGTTCACATCACGGCCCCCCCTTGTATCATATTTTTCTCACAAAACCAACACCAACTGCACGAAAAAGGAGATCTATTCTCTTTCCTTCGAACATCAGCCACACAAAGCTGTAAGAAGAGAAAACAAAGGAAGAAATCCTCGACACAGCAGCCATCATGTCTTTCCAGAGCCGGCCGCAAGACATCTTCGGCCCCAACACGCCGTGTAGCCTTGATACATGCCCGATAGCGTGGTCCATGTTTGGCTACCGGCCGTCGCTGGCGGCCAACGTCGTGTTCTTGGTGCTTTTCGCCGTCATCGGCGCCGCGCACGCGTACCTGGGCGTGCGTTGGCGCAGCTGGGGCTTCATGACGGGCATGCTGCTCGGCTGCGTGGCCGAGATCCTGGGCTACGTGGGCCGCATCATGATGTGGCACAATCCATTCTCCTACTACGGCTTCATGGTTCAAATCAGTGCGCTCTCCTTCTCCCTTTCCCTTGTTGCAGTCAACTAACACGCCGTGTCCCAGTCTGCCTCACGATCGCGCCCGTCTTCTTCACCGCGTCCATCTACGTCACCCTCTCCAAGACCATCGTCCACTTCGCGCCCGACCTGTCGCGCGTGCGCCCGCCGTCGCTCTTCTACTGGATCTTCATCCCCTTCGACGTCGCCTGCCTGGTGCTGCAGGCCATCGGCGGCGCGCTCTCCACCACGGAGCGCGACGGCCGCCGCACCGGCGTGCACATCTCCATGGCCGGCCTGATCCTGCAGGTGGTCGTGCTAGCGGCCTTTGCGGCGCTCTTCGCCGACTACGTGGCGCGGCTGGCGCGGTCGGGCCGCGCGCGCGCGGAGCTCGCGGCCTGGCGGAGCGTGGCTTTCTTCGCGGCGCTCGCGGCGGCGTGCGTGTTCATCTTGGCGCGCTGTGCGTTCCGCGTGGCGGAGCTCAAGGATGGGTATGGGGGGAAGCTGTTCCGCGAGGAGGTGCCGTTCATCGTGCTCGAGGGCGTCATGGTGGTGCTGGCGGGCGTGGCGCTGCTGTTTGGAAGCCCGGGGTTAGTGTTTGACAAGCCGGGGGCGGTGCGTGGGAAGAATGGAAATTCGATGAGCGAGGAGGGCGGCATGTCGATGGAGGAGTATGATGGAGAGGGGTTTGGGAGAGCTGACGGGAGGTAGGAGTTGGAATAGAAGCTTGGATGCGATGATGATTTATGCGTACAATTTTTTTTTTCGTTTAATAGGGGAAATCTCAAGGCGAAATGAGATACACTGTAGGAAGCTTGGGTATTTAGTAGAAAACTAATTTTGTCCAAAGTCATCTCGCAGTAGAGGCAATAATTCGGAGTGCCCCAGCAAGCCACGGTGCAACGAGTTCTTGTCTGTTGCAGCAGGCTACTGTGCTACACAACTGGCAATGTGTATAACTCATCAGTCAGCTATTTTCCGTGGTTCACTGCTGCCCAAACTCTACATTGACCAGCCGCTGTAGGCACAGTCCAGTATGTATACTCCGGCTCGGCCAGTCGGCTGGTGCCGGCGCAACGTCGCCGGGTACGTATCCCCCGTACCTGCCATACTGGGGTATGGGCGGCCCCACATCAGGAGGGGAAGCCCCGGCCGAGCTGCAAATCAATTCTGTTTGCCGGTTTCTCTGATGTTCCGTAACACTTTTTGCAAAGATCGATTTTCTCCTCCCACACAATCTCTCTAGCTTCTATCCATCTCCTCCCCCCTTCCACGGATACTTCCTCCTCTCTGCTCTACCGACCTGCATGAGCTATCTGCGCACCGTCCCCCTCGCCTCCATACGATCATCGCCGTTATCGACCCTTCTCCGTCCCCATCAACACCACTACCACCCCAGATCGACTCCGATCGCCCTCGCCTTCTCCACCTCCGCCTTCATCATGGCTCCTCCCAAGGCTGCCCTCGACTTTGTCGACTTTGTCAACGCCTCGCCGACTCGTACGTACAAGGCTCGCTGTCTCTGCCCAGACGTCTCCCCTCCGCCAGGCTCCTCCCCTCCCTACCTCACGTGCTCACTCCGCTGACCTCTGTCTCCTCAACCCCCAGCGTACCACGCCGTCGCTACCGCCGTCGAGATCCTTGAAAAGGCTGGCTTCCAGCAAATCCACGAGCGCGACTCCTGGGCCTCCTCCGTCCGCCCTGGCGGCAAATACTACGTCACCCGCAATGGCTCCTCCATCTCCGCATTTGCTGTCGGCCACAAGTGGCGCCCGGGCAACCCCGTCGCCGTTGTCGGCGCCCACACCGACTCGTGCTGCCTGCGTCTCAAGCCCGTCTCCAAGAAGTCGCAGGTCGGTTACGACCAGATCGCCGTGGAAAAGTACGGCGGCGGTATCTGGACCTCATGGTTTGACCGCGACCTGAGCTTGGCTGGACGCGTCCTCGTCCGTCAGGGCGGCTCCATCGTGCCCAAGCTCGTCAAGATTGACAAGCCCCTCGTCCGCATTCCCACGCTTGCCATCCACCTGCACCGCCAGTCCGGCTTCGACCCCAACCTCGAGACGGAGATGCTGCCCATCACCGCGCTCGCCGAGCAGCAGCTCAACAAGGCCCCAGCTAACGCTGGCCGCCGTGGCGACGACGACGGTGAGGAGGACTTCCAGCCCCTCGCCGACATGACCGACCGCCACCACCCCGCAGTCCTCGACATCATTGCTAACGAGGCCGGTGTCTCGGTCGATGCAATAATCGACTTTGAGATGGTGCTCTACGACACTCAGGACGCCTGCGTTGGTGGGCTCAACGATGAGTTTGTTTTCGCCCCCCGTCTGGACAACTTGGAGATGACATACTGCTCCATCCGGGGTCTCGTCGCCTCCGTGCAGGCCAAGGATGCGCTTGACAATGATAGCACCATTCGCATGATTGCCTGCTTCGACCACGAGGAGATTGGGTCCACATCGGCCCAGGGCGCGCACTCTAACATGCTACCCGCGGTCCTGCGTCGCCTCGCCGTGCTCCCTGGCAGCAACAGCCGCGACGCCCATTCGGACAAGAGCTACGAGTACGTCTCGAGCGACGCAGGCGAGGAGTCGACGGCCTTTGAGCAGACGCTCGCGCGGTCGCTCCTCGTATCAGCCGACATGGCGCATGCCGTACACCCAAACTACCAGGGTAAATACGAGGGCGCGCACCAGCCGGCGATGAACAAGGGCACTGTCATCAAGATCAATGCTAGCCAAAAGTACGCGACCAACTCGCCCGGCATCGCGCTCCTGCAGGAGTGCGCCCGCGCTGCCGAGGTGCCCCTTCAGCTTTTCGTTGTCCGTAACGACTCGCTCTGCGGCAGCACCATTGGTCCCGGCCTGGCCGCCCTGCTGGGTATGCGCACGATTGACGTGGGCAACGCTCAGCTCAGCATGCACAGCATCCGCGAGACGGGCGGCACCGCTGATATTGGAATTGCCATTAAGCTGTTTGAAAAGTTTTTTTCCTCGTACGGCGTCATGGAGCCCAAGATTCTGATTGACTAAGTTGCATGTGTTGATGTGTGTTTCAGAGGCGCGGAGTTGATGGCGTATGAGGATGCGGGTGGGTGGGTGATGGGAGTGAGACGAGGAGGATGAGCGGAGTGATTTATGTAAAGATTGGAGTTGAATAGCGATGAGCAAGGCTGATGGTCAATTTGCACAACTTGGTAAAAACATGTCAACATACAGGCGATGCTTTTGCGTCGTCTTCCAAGTGCAGATGTCTTTGATTTCTATGGGGTCTTGCGTGTTTGACTTGCCCACATGTAACCCAGATTGCCCATTTACGCCCACCAAAAGAACGAACAAGACATTCCAATACAATACAGTTACAATATAAAGAAAATGATAGGACATCAACCAGGCGTGAAAGATGTCACGTCAAGAGTCGATTGTCTCTGCCCGATATACCCGCCCGTCTGCCATCAACGCCAAAGTGTATGTGAGTGTGTGTGAAGAAGAAAGGTATTACATGTGCGTTCGCCTCCCCGAAACACAGAATAGAAGAAGGGGAACGCGGCAGAAACAAAAACACCGCCGCCGAGTAGGACCCAGACGTTAAAAAAAAATTGAAAACGCCGTACCAAAGAAAACAAGAACAATGAAAAAAAAAACGGAAAGTGCAGCCTGCCATTGCAATGTGGTGAGAAATGAGCGTGTTTCACCGCGACGCCATGGTCGCCAAGGCCGCAACGGCCGCCGCCGGTGCCGGAGCGGATTCCTGAGTCGACGGCGGCGTTTCCTCCACCACTTCGTCCTCCTCTCGCTCACGCTGCTCTGCCGCGTTCCTCACTATCGCCGGCGGTGGCGGGGTCCCGACGGGTGGGAGCCGTCGCGGCTGGAGGTCGGCGAGGGGCACGTCAACCTGCCCCGTGCGGAGCTTGTAGCTGGCCAGTCCGAGGCGCAGTCTCAGAATCTCGACTCTCTACAACACGCACATGATCCTGTCAGCTCTTGCCTCTTATTCATTGTAGGGTGATGTTGTTGCTTGGGGAGTGAGGCCCGGGGGGGGGGGGTCAGCGTGACGGTGTTGGGGCGAGGTATCGCGGGGACGATGACGGGCGCGACGGGGTCGGGCTCCGTGGTTGTCGTGGCCCACGTGGAGTCGGCCTCGGCCGAGTCGAACAGGGAGCTGACGTCTGGGCTATGTGTCCTGCTACGCCCGGCAGCAGCCACGGCCGTCGCGGAGGACGAAGTCGTCACGTTCGTCACATTCGTGGTCGTGGAGCTCTGCGTCGACTCGGGCACACGGTCATCGTCGCGCTCGTGATCCAGCTTGCTCTTCTTGACAGCCTGCTGATCTTGGCCGGCGTCCTTGCCGTCCGTCCCGGGGCGCTTCTTGCCGCCCACCGACGGCGTGCTGCCGACGGCGGCGGCGCGGGCCGTCGTCGGTGGAGGCAGCGCGGGAGCGGAAGACAGCAGCAGGCTGCCGCTCGACGACTTCCGCATCGCATGCAGAGGCGTCGGCTTGGTGGACGGTGCAGTGGTATAGTCGCCGCTCGCGTGAGGCTTGCCGGTCGTCGAGGGGGGAGGCGTCGTGGTCGCGGCGTTCGCGTCGAGGGGGGCCAGCGCGGCGCGTCTCCTCGGCGAGGCGGCGTTCATCGTGGGAAGCTGGAAGAAGAAGAGATTAAGAGGGGGGTGGAATTGACAAAGATGAAGATATGCAATTCCAAGACTGGCGGGAGAGAAGCCTGCAAGATGGAGAGAGGAAGACGATGAAGAGACAAGAACGTGTAATAGGCGATAGAGACAGACCGTGGTGGCGGGCCGCGTCTAGAGCGGGGAGGTTGCCAGCGAAGAGTAGCTCTAGTTTGACAGAGTGTGAGGAAAGGGGGAAACGCTTTAGATAATGTTGTTCTTCTGGTGCCACTCGAGGAGGATGGAATAGAAGAAAGACGCGAAGTTGTTGTGCTTGGGGGAGGGACGTGTTTGTGTAGTTGGTAGTAGTTGGAGGTATGAACGGGTGGCGGGCAGTTGGAGCGAGTGCTCCGTGGTGCTAGCACCTAACAGGCCTAACAAAGCTGGGAAGCTGTAGGTGCACCCCCACAACAACCGTGGTTTGTGCCTGGTCTTGGTGCCAATGCCGATAAATAAACTAGGTAGAATAAAAAAAATGCAATCTTCTTCATCGCGCCTCCCAAGGTACTAAGTTTAGGTAGGTCCGTAGCGTGTTTTCCGTCTTTGCAACCCAGCCCCCAAGCTGCAGGTGGGCAGCCATTTTCATTTTCGTGGTTGCTTCAACCCTTTTTTTTTTTCCTATTCGATCATGATTCGACTGCAACTATATAAAATTCGTTCAGTTACCTACCAGAAAAAAAAACATCTGATGCATACCACTCGAATTACTCGACCAATACAAAACCAGGTGGATCCTCCCGTCGCGTTCCTTCGTGTCTCTTCACGTTACCTGGATCTAGCTTAGCGCCCGTCTCTGCGACGTACATACATACATAGCTAGCCTCAACGGCCAGCCGCCGTCTGCGCCCCCATTTCGCTGATCTTCCGTGGTCCGTTAGACCACCAACAATCACCTACCCGGCAAAGAGTCGATCATATACGCTCAAGGCGCAGTCTTTATACGGAAAGGGAGCAAAAAAAAAAAGCCGGGGGGGACAAGTTGACCTGGGAAAAGGCACCAGAAAATAGTCATCACGAGTAGTTGATCATTCAGCACCAAGATTCATACATATGGATGGATACACTTGTTACTAATTACACACAACCTGTCAACCAAGAGTCACCAACACAAGTAGCACAGACAACACAAAACTCAACCAAAACTGCCATGTAAGAATTCTCAATAGAAAGAAACGCCATTGTGAATACATCTCATCTGACCTATTGAACAATACCACCCTCATCATCACCCCGTTAGACTCCTAGGAATTTGCACCTCTATCCCAACATGCATGGATGCATGGTCCTTTGCTCCACTGTCCATGGCAATCATTACAAAAATCAACCGGGTATATATCCTGAATGAAATCCCTCAAGTCCCAAGACTTGACAACCAACAGCAATTGCCAAAACAAAAATCAGTGCCGAACCAGTCCAAAATACAAAAATATTCGCTTGTCGCTGCCGCCCATGTTCCCTCCTTTTTGTGTATTAACCATCCAGCCTTGCCATAAAGAAACGAGTGGCTTGGATCCCAAAATAGTAAAAAGTCAACAAGAAAAATAACAAGACAGCAGAAAGAAGCCCCAATAAGCTGAATAAGACAATGGGGTGCATCACTGCACTTCACCCACACCACCTGCAGCTCTTACGACTCCGTATTGAAATAATAACGGCTCGTGTCAAACTGAAACGGCTTGTCAAAATCGACAGTCACGTCGTCCCAGTCCGGAGCGGGCCCTGCCAAAGGGTCCAGAAGGAGAGACGGATCCAGCGTCAAAGATCCATCCCCATTGCCCATGTCCAGCAGTAGATCCGGGCCCAGATTCTGCCACCTCATGTCAATGTCCAGCGCCGTACCCTCCGAAATGTCACTGCTGGGCTCGCTCGCACCGCTATCCTTGCTTGACTCAGGCGTGTCGTTGGGTGTCAGCGAACGAAACAGCCGAGCCTCATTAATCACCGTCCGTAGCGCCCCGCTCTCAAACCCCATGTTGCTCAGCAGCGCTTGCTGGTCAAGTTCCGACCCCGCCCACACATCTACCGATCCGGGTGTCATCGGTTCCGCTGGCGTTGTCTTGGGCGTTCCGTTCTCAACCCGCCCACTGGCCTGTGCTCGGCTCAGCGCGCTGCTAGATCTCTTCATCGCCGTGGGCCCTTGTCCTTGCTTCGAGCCAGACGGAATCATTGCCGGCGCCGCCTCTCCGCTATGCTTCTTTGGCGTACCGTCCGGCTCTAGCCCAATCGCCAACGCTAGGCTCTCCTGCGTAAACTTGGCCGGGTCTTCCTTTGGCTTGACATGCTCCTCCTCAACATGCTGCTTCAACAACTGTTCCGTAGCAAAACCGACAGTGGGCAGGTCGCAGCCTGATTCACGACACAGAAACACCGGCTTTGCAGCTGGCTCTGGCGCCCGCTTCATTTCAGGCGACGCCAGCTTGGCGGCCCGCGGCGATGGTGTGTTGGCGGCCTGCCCGGGTTGCTGTGCCACCTTTTGCTTCTTGCGCGGCGGGATCTGGAGGTTCATATCCTTAGCCTTGCTCATATAGCTGGGATTGCCGTGCGGGGACGATGCGTTTGTCGGGAAGCCGGGTGCCTGAGCCACCGTCGGTGCCGGAGGGGGCTGATTTGCTGCGGACTTGCCCTTTTGCCGGTTGAGCGCTTGCGAGTTCTTTTCTAGGTTTCTTGCGTTTAGTGGTGCCACTGTCGACGACTGATCGTTGCTGCTGCTGTTCGGGGGTGCCTGCTGACCCGCTTGGCCGGGCTGCGTCTGACTGCTCTGCCCCTTCATGAAGCCAGCCTTGGCAGCCGCGTGAAGATCTCGGGCCATGCTTTCCAGCATAGCTCTAGCTTGCTCTAGGTCTGAGGATCGCATGCTGAACGATTCGCGAAGAACCGACATGGCGTCACCGTCGGCAAATTGCCTGATTAGACGCTGACGGAATTTGAAGAACATACTCGCACGCCCCTCATCTCCGGTGATGGCGAACCACTTGGTGAGAGGACGTCCAACTTTCCTCATATCGTTTACGATCCGTTTCAGCTTCGCACCAGTCTCCTCCAGTTCTTGAGGACTCATCGGAATGTCGGGCATCGGTTCCTGCGCGAGCTGGCGCGCCGCTTCTTGGCCAATGACTTTAAGGCGATTGATCGACTCAGCGGTTGGCTGTATAGCGGCGGCTGGTACGCCGTCTTTGCTGGCCATCTGATGCCTGAGAAACGCCTCGTACTTGGCTTTATTCTCCGGAGACATGTTGGCAATTTGCTGAGCTGAGAGCTGCGGTGGGAGCCTCTTGGGACCGGAGGCGGCGCTGTTGGGTCTAGCGCCGGCTGGGTTCGTCGGCGCAGTGGTGGAGGTGGCGGCGGCGCTGCTAGCATTGGCGGCGTTATCCTCAGCAGCGTCATCATCAGTGCTTGGCCGCTTGAGGCTTTTGACCGGTTGTTGAGGCGTCGGCTGCTGTTTGGCAGCTGCAGCCTGGGCCGGAGCCATGCCGCTGGACATTGTGCCGGCTTGCTGCTGAGGTGGTTGAGGCTGCTGGCGAGTCGTCTCCTGCTGCTGAGGAGGTTGGATCTGCTGCTGAGCGGTCTGTGCAGCAGTTGCTCCGGCCATGGGATTCTGAGGTCCGAGGCCTTGATTGGGAGCTCGCATAAGCCCATTCTGCATCTGACTGCGCTGCTTCATACCCATGACCATCAGACGGATTTTCTCGTCAGGAGCGTTTGCCAATTGAGGCACCCTGTTCCGGAATTGTTGAATCTCTTGTAGCGTGACTTGCTGCAGCTGTTGATGAGAAAAGTTGGGCATATTGGGAGCCATGTTGACCATGTTCATGCCGCCGTTCATCATCTGCGGCTGCTGCTGTTGCTGCGGCTGCTGCTGCGGCTGCGGCTGCGGTTGTGGCCGCTGGCCCTGTGGCTGCTGTTGGGCTAATTGAAGGGGTTGCTGGCTTTGCTGAAGAGTTTGAAGTGGGTCGTGTTGCTGACCTTGCTGTTGCTGCTGTTGCTGCTGCTGCTGGTTGTGCTGCTGGCTGAAGCGTTGCTGGTAGGGGGTCATACGCCCGTAAGTCTGCGACCAATGCACTTTTTGCATTTGAACAAGAGCTTGCTTGGTTTGCAGAGGAACAGTGTTGGTCGTGTTTAGCCAGATCTTAAGGTCACGCCATTTCTTGACCTCAGGTGGCATGTGGGGGAGATTCTTACGGAGCTGGGGTGGTATATCCAGGCTGTCCGCTTGTTGTTGTTGTAGACCACTCATAACACCTTGTCCTTGTGGAGGCATGCCGTTTGGATTTGCAACGTTAGGCGGCGGCTGCTGCTGCTGCTGCTGCTGCTGCATCGCTCCTTGGAGAGCTGCGCCGGCTAGGTTTGGATTCAGCTGATTTTGCTGCTGCTGTAAAGGAGCTGCGCCCCCTATTTGGCTGCGTTGACGCTGTGCTAGAGCCCACCTGCGCACCACCTCCACTATTTTCTCATCTTGAAGCTGGCTCAGACTGTGTTGCTGCTCTTGGGTCATGCCAGAAGCCATGGCCATCACCATGGCCTGCAAGTTCGCATTGCCTTGGAACCTTTGATTGAGCGGGAGGTTGCCAAAGGGCATGTTACCATGCTGATTGTTGGGGGTTCCCATGGGATGTACGGCATTTGGCCCACGGTTGGCGGCAGGGTTTATACCGGGGCTCTGATTTTGGTCCATAATCATACCCTGCTGGCTGTGCATCTGCTTCATTTGAGCAGCCTGGGCTTGCTGCGAGGCCTGGTTCAGCTTCAACTGTTGCTGCTGCTGCTGTTGCTGTTGTTGTTGCTGCTGCTGCTGCTGTTGCTGCTGCTGCTGTTGACCTGGCTGCTGGCCTTGGCGGGGTGTCTGATTCTGGCCTTGGCCGACCATGGCCGGGTTACCCGGTTGAGGCGTGGGATGTCGAGTGGCACCGCTAGCAGGGACGACCATCTGGCCGGCTTGCTGGGCGATGAGGCCGCTCATCTGCTGGTCCTTGATACTCTCCATGCTGGGGCCGAATTGAGAAAAGTCATGGCCGGCGGGCTGACCATTAGGCATCATGTTGTTGGCCCGCTGTTGGCTATTCTGCTGCTGCATCATGGCAGCTTGCTGAGGCATCATGTTAGCAGCCTGGCTGGCTCTGCTTGCGGCGGCCTGCCTGGCGAGTAGCTGAAAGGCTTGCTGTTGGAAGTACATCATGCAGGGATCACGGCCCTGGGCCAGAAGACTTGGATTCTGGGCAGCCATTTTGCTTCGGAGCTGATTGCGGATCTGATTCCTAGTGCTCTCGGACGCCTGGCTGAAAAGTTTCCCGGCAAGCTGGAGAACCTTTTCACGGTCGGCCGGGGGGAGGTTATCAAAACTCATGTTGCCGCCAGGACGTTGCCCAGGGCCGCCGGGGCCCATGGCGAATTGCTGACCTGGGCCGGCCATGCCACGACCTGCTTGATGGGCCATGCCCATGGTTGCGGCCATCTGCTGCTGCTGCTGCTGCTGCTGCAACTGGAGCATCTGTTGCTGGTTGGGCCTCTGCTGGCCCTGCATGGCCTGGTTCATGCCAGGAAAGCCCTGTTGGGGACCAAAGCCACGATTCATCTGTTGTTGCAGGTTGAGGGCAGCCTGGGCTTGTGCATTAGCGTCGAGGCTGTTTTGTAGAGTGTTAGTGTTTTCTTGGCGCCTTCTGAAGAAGTCCTGGATTTTTTGGTTCATTTGGCCCATATAGTGATCCTGGGATTCGGGGTTAGCACTAATGGTGGATGTGAAAATGTGGAAGTTGGTTGTTTACCTTGGACTGGGAAGTTTTGAAGGTTTGAATTTCATAATTAATAGACATTTCCAAGGCGCGCGCTGGGTTGACTCCGGGACCAAGTTGAACATTGGAGAAACTGGAAGGAGTATTAGTTTAAGCGGAGGAGTTGGAGGCCCAAAAATGAGACGGCACATGTTGAAGGGCAGCCGTGTAGGCAACATACAGTTCAAAGGTCCTGCCAACGCGGTCATTCATAGTAACGCCAGCGTGCCAATCTCGCGGGGGAACCGGTGTGTTGGAGAGTCGGGCGAGAATAGTTGTACCGTGCGGGGTGCCGGCTGGGACATGCTGCTGTTGCATCCGCATCTGTTGTTGTTGTTGTTGTTGTTGTTGTTGTTGCTGGGACACCATGTGGCCAGCGCCAGCCATGTGCTGCATATTGGCGGCCATTGCCGCGGTGAATGATGGGGGGGGAACTCAGCAGACGAGAGGAGCGATAGACTCGACCTGGAAGTTGGAGGAGATGTATTGGTGCAGTGAGTTGCTAAAGACGCTGATCGGGGAAGCGTGATAGGCACTGCAAGTAAGGCCGGCGGTGAGTATGCGAAACGAGATCTCGGTGGCAAATGGAAGGGCGGCTGCCGACGAGGAATATGCGCGAGACGATGGGTATTGAGAGATGTGTCGTCGAGTTGAAGCTTCTGTAAGCCAGAACCAGAATGCGATGACCGAGTGGAGTCTAATGACAGGCGCGAGGGAGCATGTACATTCGAGCGGGAGGTCGCGCGCCTGGGAGCCAAGAGTCGAGGATGCTGCGTGAGGCGAGATGAGTGGCAGCGGAGGGAGAGGAGAATGGAATGCGTGAATAGCCTCGTGGCGGTTGGTAAGTGACACGAGCGCGCGAAATCGTTGGCGTCACGATCCAAGGTTTTCGTCGAGGCGGAACGGCTTAGGCAGGCAGGGTAGGGAACAACGTAAGAAAACGCCGGGGGACGAGTCGCGGGAATTGCGAGTGGACGGTGGGAGGCGACGGCGACAGGGATGCAGCAGGATTTAATCGGAAGGTATCGCTGCTGCGGAGGGCTGTCAAGGGACTTTGAATCGGATCTCTGGGGGTGGTTGAGGCGAATCGTTGTTTAATGTCGAGAGTGGCGGGCTGGGGCGCGGATGGGATAGAAGAGCTGTAGCCGGAAGTATTCGTCAGAACGGCGAGACATTCAAGCTGGCTGAGCCGGCCTGTGTTCGAAGAAGAGAAATTAAACAAGGTGAAAAGGAAAGAGCCAACGAGCACCGAAAATAAAAAAGGAGGAGAAGAAAAACACCGGCTCCAGAGTGAAGTTGGCGGGAGGGAGGGGTGGGAGGTGGTGATGTGAAGAGAGGAAGGTTTGCAGGCTGGGCGCAGGGCGGAGGAGAAGATGGGGAGAGCGAGAGAGAAACGTACCGGAGAGGAGGATGGATGGGCAGATGGGAGAGGCAGGCCAGGCAGGCAGGTACCTTAGTAGCGCAGGGCCTGGGGCTAGACAGGCAGAGGGTGGTGAGGTTAGCAGGCTAGCTGTACCTGTAGGTACCTGCGTGGGTAAGGTATGCCCAGGTAGTAGGACAAGGCCTGGTGAGAGAGATAGTGAGTCGATGAGTGGCGTGAGTGAGGAAGAGAAGACGGCGGCCCAAGCCTGGTGGTGGTGAGTGGAAGGGAGCAAGGGAAGAAAAAGAGAGGCCTGAGAGATTGAGGAACTAATAGAAAGAGAGAGGACAAGAGAGAGCCAGAGAAAAGAGAGGGAGGGGGGGGGGAGTGAGAAAGAGGGTGAGTGAGGATGTGGTGTGTGGTGTGGGCTGTGGGTGTGACAGGGTCGGGCCAGGCTGGACAACTTAACTAGTACTTTTTCGCTGGGCTGGAGACAGGTGGACGACAAGGTCACTCACCACCAAAATATTGGCGACACGACCGCCAGATGGTACCTACAAAGGTGGGGCCCTTTGGGGGAAAGAAGAAGGGAGGGGGGGGGGGGGGGGGTGCCTTGGAATAACAATGGGGAGGGGATTGTCAGATGGATGGATTGATTGATTGAAGTGAGGAATGGCAAGTCGACATGCAACCATAATGTGGAAGTTGGCAAGTTGGGTGAAAGGAACAGGATGTGTCACGGCTTAGATTACCAGCGAGACGACGGCGAACATTTGGTTTGCGCCATTGCTCGCTTCGTCTCGCTACCTACCTACCTCTGTACCTAGTCTTGGATCTTGACCGCACCAAAAAGCATGGCCGGCCATCCATCGCCAGAGCACCCTAGCCCCAGGCCCAGGCGGGAAGCAGGACGAATTAAGGTTCGGGGTGGAGATTTTTCGTCTTTCAACCGCACAGCTCACACACCACACTGACCTGGCCCACGCGCGTTGATTGGGCACATTTGCAGCACGCTGAGGTGATGGCACAGATGGATGGTGTGTGGGTGGCATGTCGTTGTTGATGGTTGGTACCTAGTCCCATCATGAGGGAGTGAGGGACTAAGTGAGCTCGACAGTAAGAAATACTGCATACAGAACTCAGTCGCGCGAGTATGAGTTTCTTTTCTATCTATCCATCTTGTATTGAATAAAATAAAAATCGAGATCTCCCTTGATCCAGGGTCAATTTTTGTTTTGGTTGGCCGGCTACCGCCCATGTCCACACCAGGCCATCGCTGGCGCTAGCAGAGCTAGATACTGATGGGCGATCGCAGGCCATCGCAGAGCCAAGGTCGCTGTCTCTTGATAGGAGGTAGGCAAATATCGCCCTATGAGTCGAAGATTGGCCCTCTGTCCTTCCTTTATCTGCTTTCCTCGTCCCGCCGCCGTGTTACCAGCTCGGCGGCTGTGGTGTAGCACACCGTTGCACACCGTCACACAGGTGCTACTACCGATGGTTTGCTGTGCCTCTCGAATACCCATGTTCGTGGTGGCTGGTGGGGCTCACATCCTTTCTCTCTCTCATTCTTGCGGTCACTCACTCACTCGGTCGCTTTCACCCTTGTTCGTTCATTCATTCATTCGTTCGTTCATTCATTCATTCATTCTTTCTTTCTCTCTTGAGTCCTCCTCATTGCCTTGGCCCCCATACTCTCACAGTACGACGTACATCTCATTGTATATACTTGGTATACCTGTTGTGGCTCTCGACAACGCTTCTTTCAACGACAGATTTAGAAAGAAATGCTCCCTGCTTCCTCAATCTCACTAACCCCCTTCTGGTATTCTCTAACTGGCCCCTGCTACCCTCTGCCGACGCTAGCAGCGGTTGCTTTGGCTAGCGCCACCTCCAAGTTCCAACTGGGCTTTGCTGGTCGCTGCCAGACTCCAGCCAGTCAACTCCTGTCGACGCACAACCCACCATCTTGTACCTATCCAGCACGCGTCCGTGCTTGAAATACTTCAGGCACCCGACCAGTGGGACAACATGGGACAGCCCGGCCATTCCCTGTCGCCATCGCCTCATAAATCACCACATTATCATTCATCGCCCGCAATAATCAGGACAAGAAACAATGCAACTTGGTTAATAGAATTTCATCGATTTTTATTAGGACTTTATCTCTTTGTAATCCAGATTTTTTATGCCCTCTTATCTCGACTCTCCTGGATTTCTTATCCTCTTGCACCCTCGCCTTGCCTCACCTCGTCGCACGCTCCCGCCTGAAACGCCTCTGACGCACATGAAAATATCATCACCAGCACTTAACCGCCAGACCAGTGCGCCGGACTTCCACCTTAATCAACCACTGAATCTACACAATCATGAAGACGATGGCCGATTTCTATCTTTGCAACTGCTTCTCTCCAGGAAATAGCATGCTGCTTTGAGGGTTCTGCCAGCCACTCAACTTACAACACACCAATCGTACTTTCCCTGGTGCCTCCATCCCATCCATTCACACCAACCCATGACCCATTCCTCTCTCTACTCCTACAGATTACATTCATTAATAAGATGATTTCGTCTGTAGAATTTCTTCTCCAACCCAGACAAGGTCTCGATACATCAATCACCCTGGTTGCATGAGTTCTCATCTCCCTCGGGTCTTGCTCCGTACATCCCAAGCTTACGAGGCCACCACCTATTTTCGTCCGTGGTTAGCAAAGCTGCGCGGTACCCCGCCAGGGATGTGCTCATGATCCCGGTCCCCGTGGCCCTCCAATGTGGTCAACTGAAAATAGCGGTGGTGGGGTGAGGCCACCCTCCTCCGCTCCCCAAGCAAGGCGATCTCGTCACACACAGGCAGCTCTTCTGCACACCTCACCCGACTCGCTGGCGGACATGAGACAAGTACAGAAGAAACAGAGGCAACAAACCATGTCCGGCTGGGCAGATCGGGGGGCAGAACCTCTTTTTTTTTTTCTTCCTTCCCACCACCCCCATGACAATCCGGGAAGCTGGATCGTCGTCGTCGTCGCATCATCGTCATTCATCGCCACTGTCCGTTTAAAGGATTTGCCTTTTTTTTTAAATTGCATCCTCACCGATGGGTGGGTTTGTTCAATAAACAACAACACGGCGATGTTATTTCCCCTCCAGCACCCTGACCCAGCACCCCTGGTCCATACCGGCGCAACACTGCACGATACAACGGACAGTGCCCACCACCGACCGGTCGCTCACGTTCCCTCCCGTTTGTTTCTTCTTCGTTTTGCGTCTAACTAGCAAGAAGAAGAAGACCCTTCCTTTTAACCTTGTTTTGGCCTTCCCCGCCAAAATCTAAATCCAGCCATTTCCACCACCGCCCGCGTCCGCTGACCGTGATGGACTGCGCGCGCACAAGCATCCCCCAGAGAATCAATCCCCCACCGCCCAGCCCAGCCTCGTCCAGGCAAGAAATATCCTTGGCTGTCTCTGGGTTCTGCGCATGCCAGAGAAAAGGGCAGATTTGGCAGGTGTGCCCAGCATGGGGGGTGCCCTGGCCGGACCCGTGGAGCTAACATGGTGGTTGTCTTGGCCTTTTGGGTCGGTGGCGCTTCCTGTCCCTCTGGGTCAGGTCGAGGAAAGGAAGATTGGCATCGCGTATCACTTGGCTATGCGATGTACTTGGGTCACGTTATGAGGGATGCTTCGAACATTAAGAGAGCCCTAACTAACTAGCTCAGTGCGTTATAAGTTGATGACTACTTGGTAATCAGTTCACAGCCTACGAAACTACCAAGGGAGAGGGTGTCTAGTATACGCTGCCTGTCCATGTTACCATGTAGGTGCCTGACTGTTTGATGATGAACACCTGCAGGCCTTGCCAGGGACCAGATATATGACAAAAAGCCGTTTTGCAGCGGCATGCGGCAAGGCAACACAGCCAAGCCATAAAGAATGCAGCAGGTAACATGGTCCATCATATTGATCGTTCCTCTCCCATTCACTAGTCCTTCTTGAAGTGGTAAACCGTCAACGCGCTCGTCCATAAGCGCTGTACAAAGTAGTT